GAAAGATCATCCCTTAAAACATTTTTGAAATTTGTTGAACTCTCCAATGCTGTACTTTTTTATTATGTACTGTAGAATTTTTTATTTCTTATCTAGAATACAGTATTTGAAAAATCAAAATTTGGAAAAGTGGAACAAAAAAAGACCAAAAAATGCTGCATAAGTAATTTCTGAAAATAATAAGAGTACAGACTATGATTTGATGAACATCAATGAATATAACACACTTTTTCCACAGTGTTATAATGCTAAAGAGCTGGTTTTGTGTAAATTTTCAATAAAAAGCCTTCAATAAAATTTGACAAAAGAATGTCCCCAAAAATGATGGAGAATTCAAATGACTACAAATTTTGGCTTTTGGATTTTTGAATTTAGAGTGCCCAAGATAAACAAAAGTAAAATAGTAATAATTCCAAAGCCCTCGGGAATAAAAATTTCAGATTTAACTAAAGTGCCTTCTATACTTTGTGCAACTTAAAAGCGTAGTTTCATGTTGCACTCATGTTTTAACCACAGTAAAATAAAAGGATAATTAAACTGACCTTTTAATCAAACCAAAATGGTTTTCTATAAAGTACTGCATTCGATAACCTCTGCAAGTCCAAGTGAAGGAACTTGAAAAAATTCACATACAGTATCATGGCATTTTTGAGTAAGAATATTTATGGCCTGCTTTGTACGTGCTGTAGGTTAATAAATCAGAAATATTTTGTAGCATGACTTTTCAAGAGTTGACATTTTAAAGATGTTTCAACTGCAAGAATTTACTGATACAATGGCGCCATTTGCCACGAAACTTCTAAGAATCAGTCATTTATCATGCTGCTGAACCAACCCACAGAAGAGCTTACATTCGCACCCTGTGACCCTTTAAATGTCATTCCTACCGTTCGCGAATACGGTTCATTCCAAGGAGGATAGAGGTCGCTTGCGTATGAGGGACATGTGGTTTTGGGGTTGGTCACTTTTTGCACTGAACTCTAGTGCCGAAGACGGAAGAAGGAAGTAAGCACCCACGATCTCCACGAACCTCGACTTGTTGCGCAGATCTTTTCTTTGAGAAAGTGTGTGTGTGTGTTGTGCCTGGTGGTCGTGTCCGCATGCTGGTGCTTCGAGCTAAATTGCGATCATGGAGAAACGACACGGAAAAGATGCATTCATTGTGGAAATGAGTACGAGATTTCATCGCCTTGTTAGTGTTCATCAGGATGTTGATAGTTCTCATCTTCCTTCAATTTAGAGCGCTTGGCATTCTCCCGAATCTTGACTGCCCTTCGGTTGCGAAGCCCGTTCAACGATGAAGTTAGATGTGGACTTGCGGAATTGAAGGAAGAATTCGAAATCAGTGAAGATTTATATGTTCAAGAACTGCGTCGTGTCAGTCATGATGAATGCATTCGGCTTCTGGCGGAAAAGTGAGTTTCTTTCGAAGTATACAATGGCGTGCATGTGCTGAAATGAGGGATCTCTACAGTATCAAAGGTGCTCGGTTGTCATGGCTTCATGAAGGCCATGTAATGGTTCACCGGCTGATGAAAAGAAGAAGGAAAGGTAGACTTTGCTCTAAGAAGACATACGATGCCATCAATTTGAGAAAATCGAAGCATTTCAGTCAGAATGATGCGAAGAATGGCCTCACGTCCAGAATTTCAAGAAGTGACGTCAAAGCGAAGAAGAGGAAAGCAAATTTAGGTTCATACCCTTTTTCAAACATCGTTTTCCGCAGTTTCATGTATTTATTGTTTTTCTACAGCTGGATTAACAATGGAGCTCCAAGAATCTCTGAACTCCATCAAAAACAAAGGACATCAAATAGCGAATCACTCGTTCAGTAGCTCTGCGCTGGAAAGCTCCGAAGACGATCTGGTCAACTCTGCATTTCTCGATTCTAAAACGTTCGATCCTTCATTTGAGAAAATGTCGAAAGATTTTCGCCTCCTCAGTGCTCGCCGCAAAACATGGAGTGTTGATCAAATTGCAGAACGCCTTCGAGCGCGAACTGCATCTTTATTCGGACCGCATAATCGAGGTAACTTACCTGCTCTAAACGAGTGCAGTGTGATGATTCAAGCCAACCATGCGAAGCTCCTTGAGAATTTGGAAAATGTTCACGAAGACTACATCGATGGCTTCGATTTGGGTACTGTCGAGGTGAGGTATTATCCTGCAACCATTTTGGACTTCTTCAATTTCGTCTTATTTGCAGGAGACGATTGTTGATGACAACTTGGCTTTCGACTCAAAGTCAGACTGCGACACTAAAGTTACGGACCCACTTACTGCCGGCCCATTTGGTTCATTTGATCCGAGTCAACTGGCCTTGTACATGCAGCGTGCTGCTTTTACCGCAGGAGAACACAAGTTTGATGGAAGTGCTTGTGACGTGTCAACTCCAATCACTGCGTTGGATCTCAGCTTTGGCAATACCGGTTCAAATCTGAATTTTGGCGACGAAAGTGCGCTTGATGGTACAGCAATTGTGCTTCTGAGTAACTTCGTGAGGTTGAGCAGCGCAGGTAACCCCGAACTGAACGTGAATGACGTTTCGTTGATGCCGAATTCGCCCTCGCCTTCGGAAGATCCTGTGAATGTATCGCAATCAATCGATGATGACGTGGCGCCGTAGTGAAATGAGTCGCAGTCCCTGCGTTTTCCTGTGTGAATGTCTTTCTTTTGTTGTCATAACTGCGCGTTTTTCATTCCGAATTTTAGCGATAGTTACACTTTTTTCCGGTGTCGCATTTTCCTTTGAGAATTCAACGATGGAATTGTGAATTATTCGGCATGAGTGAAAAAGGGACCGTTCCGACGGAGCGAAGGGAAAAGTATTGCTTTTACGTGAGCGTTGTCTTGTTCTATTTTCACGCGTGTGATTACCGGATAATTGCAGAAAAAGACGTTTGTGGAGAGGTGCTCGTTCGTTTTTCTTTAGAAGAGTTGAAATCGATGTATGTTCATGCATTCACCGATTTTCTTGCGTGTTGCACATTGCTTTTGTGAGAATGGAGCTTTTGTACTTTTTGTGAATCTCGAGTTCGTTGCTTTTTCGCTGAAATGGGAAGAATCCTGTGGTCAATGATATAGAATTTATTTATTGAGAAAACATTGAGTTTTTCTTTCATCAATAGCGCGTTTGAATTTTGAAACAAGCTATAGAGAATTTCTGCGTTATTTTCCAGAAATTTAATTACCAACCATGTTGAATTGAACATGTTGACTGTTTCTTTGTCGCCTCTCGTAGAATTTCTGATGACGAAAGTTCCTATTCACCCTTGACATGAGGATGTAAATTTTCTCTCTTATCCAGAAAAAGGAAATTTGAGTGAACTACAAATGAACGCTTGTTTACAATATTTTTCTCTGCATGATTTTTATTGTCCCATGCAGTTTTCTCACCATGTTCTATGGGTTGTCTGCGATGTAATTCTCTTCACAACTTTTTCTCGACATTCGCACCTCTTTTGCATTGATTGTCCTCCTGTGTTACATGTACCAATTGGGAGCCTTGTCTTCAGAATTGTGATGCAACCTCATTTATTTTTTTGCGATGAGTTTTTGATATGAAGCATTTGTTTTCCTCGCAGAAATGTGCTGGTTCAATTCATTTTCCCCCTTAGGCTTAATATTATGATCAGCAATTTTTCTGGTGGAACTAAAGCTGGGAGTGAAAATGGTAAGTTCGCGATGATTGTAAACTGTTGTGATTATAGGTGAGGGTGTGCGAGGCAAAGAAAGGCCGAAAGCTCAAATATGTTTTGCCATTGGATGAGCGCGTGAAATAAAAATTAGAATTCGAAATGTGATGAATCAAAATTTTGTGTCGTGAAGTGCATTCTTCTATGGTAAACCCGACTGTCCGCTCGACTTAGTTAGCAACAGATGACTAAGATTGTGATGCTTTGGTTGGCGCCAGTGCACTGCTGTACTCACGTGCGAGTCTTGCTTATCACCGATGGTAAATTTTACTGTACTGAACTGTACAGAAGTCTAGGAGAAAATATGATGGATATAAATGAAGTTTTATGAAAGGTTTTATGATGCTTTCAGGGTCGTATCAAATTGTTGTGCAATCGCGAACATTTCAGTGCGATTTGTGTTTTCATTCGAAGGTTATCTACCGGTTCAGGAAGGCTGAAATCAGTGATGAGACTCGAATGAGATCCCTGAAGCCCTTAGTGGATGTGAGGGATGTATTTCAAGTTTTTCTTTTTGTTAAAATCGGTTTTTGAAAGGGGTGATTTGTTAGTATAAGCTCCTGTTAGGGTGTCTCGGCGTTGCGCGAGGTAACTTTTGAATTATTTCCCCGGAAAAGAAAATGTGTTGAGCATATTTAGCTACGCAATTAAGCCGTCGGGAAGAGACAAAAGTGACTACGAAAAGTTGTGATCTGCTGAAGAAAGTTCGGATTTCCTTTTGATGACCGCTGACGGGTTATCTACCTCCGGACGGTAAATGTTCGTGCTCCACTTCCCGCATAAGGGGTGCATTCCCAATTCTTGAAGTCACTCATGCACAACCTCAGGAGAGAGAGTGTTGGGTGCCGAGCGTGAGGGGATGGGGGGCACAGGGGAGAGGAGTTCTGACGGCGTGCGATCCAGCTCCGGCGAGAATGTGCCTCACCGAGGGATGTATTTCAAGTTTTTCTTTTTGTTAAAATCGGTTTTTGAACGGGGTGATTTGTTAGTATAAGCTCCTGTTAGGGTGTCTCGGCGTTGCGCGAGGTAACTTTTGAATTACTTCCCCGGAAAAGAAAATGTGTTGAGTATATTTAGATACGCAATTAAGCCGTCGGGAAGAGACAAAAGTGACTACGAAAAGTTGTGATCTGCTGAAGAAAGTTCGGATTTCCTTTTGATGACCGCTGACGGGTTATCTACCTCCGGACGGTAAATGTTCGTGCCTCAGCTTGTTATCAGTGTTCATATCTGGAATTCCTATCCTCTTTCGCGCCTGAGATACTACCTGTGTGTAATGCTAGCTTTACTTCCTTGTCTGTGAAAATGTGTGGATTTCGTTTAGATGAAGCGCACTGTGTTTAAGAGTGACCGTGCATTTTACGCAGAGTATTTCTGAACGCGTTTTATTTGTTTATTTTTAATCTCGGTTACAAATTCAAGTCGGAATCCGCCTCAGACAATGAGAAGTTCCGCGAAAACATGGACCCATCGACGCACGGCATCCGATGCTGTCATGTATCACCACCACCACCATCATCACCACCCATCCAACGACCACGTTCGCATCGTCATCAGCGACGACAAGGCTCACGATGGTGCTCCTCCTCCCGAACACTCCGGAGTACTAAGCAAATGGACCAACTACATCCACGGTTGGCAGAACAGATTCATGGTACTGCGCACCGGAACATTGTCGTACTACAAGTCAGAAACTGAGACGAGTATCGGCTGCAGAGGAGCCATTTGCATCAGCAAGGCCATCATCAAACCCCATGAACTGGATGAGTGTCGATTTGATGTTTCGCTCAATGATTGCGTTTGGTATCTCCGATCCGAGTCGGCGGAAGCGCGGCAGAAGTGGATTGAGGCTTTGGAAGCCCACAAGGTGAATATCTTCTTTTGAAATTACGTTTTATGTTCTTTGTTTCGAAGAAATTACGATGTTTTAGCGCACGAAGTGCATTTAATATAAGCCTACAGCTACCTGTGCTTTTCAAGAAATATTTATGAGTAATGATTATTGTTTAATTTTATGAATAAGGCCGAATCCGGGTACGGAAGCCAAGTGTCACTGCGAAGCCACGGTAGCAGTTTGTCGATCGCAAGTTCCACATTTTCCCGAGCTCAAGGACTTACGGAGAAATTGAATGAACTAGAAACCTACAGAGATATTTTGTGCCTCCAAATAGACAAATTGCAAGGGTATTTCGATGCTTGTGCCGAAGTCGCACCCTGGGAACCTGAAATAGGTTAGTGGGATATTCTAGTCTCGCACATACCGAATTTCTTTTTCATCGTCACGTGGGGACTTTTTCAGGAGACATTGAGGAAGACTCGGTGGAAGAAGGGGTCGAGGAATTCCTGGGTGAGTCGCACTTTTTAAAGATTATTTGTTTGTTTCTCAGGATTCGCGTCTCCCCCTTTTTTCCGGCTCTGTTCTGGTATGCGATCACTCGCGGAAAAACCGAATTTAATCGAATTCGGGATGTCATGCCTGATTATTATTTTTTTTTAATTTGTTCAAAAATGATACAGCATCACGTAATTTAGGTCATTGATTCAAATTTTCGGAAAGTGCTTTCCTGTTGAAAAACGTGTTGATATTTTAAAGTGAAATTGACAGGTTTCGTGGTGGATCGCTTACTAGAACTTTACCCATTTTTTTCTGTGAAGGAACCCTTTTTTGTTTTTCTTTGCTTGGATAATGGAATTCTTTTGAAAACGTGCCTTTCTTCAGGGCCGACGTTGCCGGTGGGGTTCAAGGAAGGGCTGGGAAAGCTGGACGTTCAGCCAGCCAATTTCCGCGGGGAATCGGCAACATTCAAGGTGCCATTTTGCCCATGGTTTTCCTCTGCTTGTTTGTGTTTTGTGCTAGTGTGTTATGTGTGTGTGTTTTATGTTGGGTGCGCGCATTCATTCATTTTGTCAGTTTATGTGTGTTCCTCCGCGTGGTTTAAGAGTGTGTGCGAGTGTACACACGAGTTTTGTTGCTTTTTTATTAATTGTATGCATGTGGATCGGTGGTGTTCTGCACCGTCTTCACATCGGTGGCCTGGTTTCTTTTCGTTATTTTTAAAGTTAATAATGCCTGGGATTCCTTCACTGCATAATGTATTGTGTGTTGATCCGAAGGTGTTGCGGTGTACTTGATATGATGTGTTTTGATGCCTGAAGGCGACGTCGAGCGCGATTCTCACCACTTTGGGACACTGCATCGACACCGTGGCCCAGCGAGAAGACGTGTGGCGGAAGCGATTGGAAAAGGAAGAGGAGAAACGGCGGCATCTGGAAGAGATGTGTTCTCAGGGACGCATTTTACCCACGGGTGACAAACGGCTTCTGCTCGGACCCGATTTCGAAGAAGGACCGCACAGTGCGTTGAATGAAGAAGAGTTCTTCGATGCCGTGGAAACCGGGCTGGACAAGATTGAAGAGGAGGATATGTGGAGGAAGCAGACAACGGAGAGGACGGAGCAGGCCCTGAATCACAAGCCCAGCGAGCCGTTGCAGGAACATCCCTTGTGGCCAGTTGTGAGCTTCTATGTACCATATTTACAGGAATAAAAGAACCTATTCAAACAATTTTTTTTTAAATTTTATAAGCTCAGAAACCAGAAGAACGTAGAAAAATGAAGCTAGTTTCCATATCTTCAGAGCAACTTTCAACGATTTTGGCCTAATTTATCGATGTAAAATTTCCAAAAGTATGAACATTGAGAACGTGACTGATTTATGATCGTAGTCTGCGTCCGTAATTCACAGGATCTAGATTCTAGAGCATTTGCAGTAATACCAGCAAATTTCTTCTCCACTGCGCGTATTCGTGGCTTTTTGCATTTTCTTGAAGAATTTTGATTTATTTTGGCAATTTTAAATTTAGTGAAAGGAAGGCATCTTCTTCTTGGGTCTTGCCCAGAGTTTGTTTAAGAAAAAGTTGCGAAATTATTTGCATTATTATTAGGGAGGTACGATTTATCGCAAATAACGCAACTTTTTTTGAGACGCAGCTGTTCAATTGAGTGCAGAATTAATGCAGGGCTATGTTCAATCAAGGAACGCAATTTTAGCACAACGAAAGCTCTATTGAGAAATGCGGGTTACAGTACCGAATTTCTGCCAATTCTGGTATTTCCGAATTCATTCACAAACCTTGTATATTTTGTCAGATTAATTCTACTACGAAAGAGCAGCTGAAATACGCGCTTTCCGGGATCGAAGACGGAGTTTGGAACCTGTTTGTGAATGATGGGCCCTTGCGGTTGTACGAAAGGAGTGAGATGGTGGATGGTCTACCAGTGGATCCACTGAAGGCGCTACACACTGTCAACGGGTTCACTGCCAAGGAATTGTGCCACATATTCTTCTCTCCAGAACACCGCTATGAGGTTGACTGTGAGTGTTATGATCAATTTTATTTTTCTGATGAAACCATTTTTTGACTGGCTTTTCACGGGATCCCCTGCAGTTACTGTTGTAACCATGAACATAGTGGAAAAACTGGCAGAGAATTGTATGGTGTTCCACCAGACCCACAAAAGAGTGTGGCCTGCTACCCAAAGAGACTCCCTGTATTTCTCCTACATGACCAAGGTGGAGGATCCATTTGTGCTCGAGGAATACGCGAAAGAGAAAGGTTTCAAAGACTGTTGGATAGTGTGCAATCATTCGATAGACCACGAAGGTGCACCACCGGTGAGTACTTGCATTTTTTTATTCATCTTAATGTCATTCGGCGAAATATTGCGTGGTTTTGTTATGTTTCGCAGCCTGGACAGTGTATCAGAGTCAAGTTGACTGCTTGTATGGTTGGGATGACTTACGTGGATTGTCCACCTGGCGAAGAACTAAAAAGAGAGCATTTGACGTGCAAACTTATGTATTGTGCTATTGGTACGTGTCTGGAATTGATGCTTTTGTCTCGTCACCAAGTTTTTTTTGCGTACGATTATTTCATTCTGTTGCATTTGCAGTGAATCCTGGTGGATGGGTACCGGTTGCTGCGATGAAAACAGTGTACAAGCGAGAGTACCCACGTTTTGTGCGCACATTTGTGGAACTGGTCGTCAAGAAGACCAAAGGCCAAGGAATCATGCTGTGACGATTTTGAATGGGGATCAAAGCCCGGGGCGTGGTTTCAATGGGGGCATTCGATATCCGTGGTTTTGTATCTTTTTTTCGCGCACAGAACCGTCCTTGTAATCGAACATTCAAATGGGTGAGGTCACTTTTGATGTACATCTTCCGAGAGACTTCCTTTTGCTTGAGTAAGCTGTTGGAAACAAAAAACTTCAATGGTGACCGTACCCTTAAACGTGTGGGGTGGGGAGTATTTTCAAACCCGCTTGCATTTATGGGAGAAAAGTTGCAGGAAAATACTCAGTGTTATTCCTTTTTTTTGCGCTTGAGGCGATTTTCATGGGCTGACATGGTTTGAGAAGTTCTGCTGCATTGATTCCTAAGCACTGCTGATGCTGAAGTGCCTCTGCTCTACATTATTTTTTGCTGTGAGTTTGTTGAAATGAAGCATTTGTTTTCCTTGCAAAAATTATGGTGGTTCAATTCGATTTATTTTCGTCAGGGCAACCTAATTTTTCTGGTATAACTCCCAGTGTAATCCCTTTTAATCTGTTGGTACTGTACAATGTTAAGAGCGAGAACGTAGCATAGACTGGCTGAAAGCTCAAAAATATAGGATGAGGTCAACCAGAGAAATCAAAATTATGTGTGTAAATTCAATTATTTATATAAAAGTTGTGTTTAAAAGCTTGACAAATTATTGCTAAGTATCTCCTGAAATATTTTTAAAGGTTCACATGCATATGAATTTCACTCTGCGAAAGTACAAATCCAAAGCTTGTGATGCGTTGAATAGCGCCAGAACTCACGTGCAAATCTCGTGCGTCATTGATGGTACATGTAGTGTACTGTAAAGCGTCGTCTGGCGAAGTTTTCAAGCATGATGGGATGTCGTGAGAGATACAGTATTGTATAGATTCTAGTGCGGTTTTAAGAGCGAAACTAACGGTACTGGAGAATATTTTCCGTGCGGTATTTACTTTCCGTTTCACGAGTGATTTTATGTGAAGTATATCTGCTGTTTCAGGATGGCCAAGTCTGTGATAGATTCAAATGAGATCTCGGAAGCAGTAGTGGATGTGTTATGGCACTTGGATCCTCTCATGAGGTCACCTGTGAGCACCAATTTGACTCCCGAGGCGATGCTGATGTACCTTGAAGAATCTGATCCGCATTTCACACGATTGGCTTTTCGTCGCCTTCTAAAAACCGCCGCCGACTCCTTGAAACCACATATGGAGGAACGCCTTTCGAATTCACAGATGGTGAGCATTCAGACCCCAGAAGAACGAGTTGCTCGGGAAATTCTGTTGTCCCCGCAATTCCATCACCTGAAGGCAGATTTGGTGAAGAAGATGATGAAAAGTTGTACGGCACTAAGGGATGCACTGGAAACGATTCCGTCCATGGAAAGGCGATCTGTTCCTCGCAGCAGTGAGCCTGTGTTCGATATTTCTCTCTCCGCTTTGGACCAGTCCGCGCTGCTGTCGTTGCCTCAAGACCAATACTCTCAAATCTTGAAGAACTTGAGTCACGGGAATGACGGCGTGAAGCTCTCCGCATTTGCTACGTTGATGTCGATTCAGACTTCCGACATCCTATCGTCGAAAGACTGGATATCCATTAGAAACGAGATCCAAAATTGCTGCATGACTGGCAACAACGCTGTCTTTGATAGTGTGATCAAGTTCCACTCGAAATTACTTCTCTGTCCCGATTTCGTCCCCGTTAAGGAAGGTTACGTGAGTTTGCTAGAGATTCTCTCAAAGTTTTTCTCTTTCTTCGAACGAGAAAACACGAGCAGGTTTTGGACGAACGGGTTTGATTTCAGCGAGAACCCGTGGCTTATTCGATGTTTCACCGTGGCGAAAGCTGCGAATGATTTTCAAAAATCTTGTTCTACGAGTTGGTTGAGAATGCCAAGTTCGGTTGTCGTCGAAATCATAGACAATACGTTCGATTTACTTTCTTATGAAGGTGATTGGAACACGAGTTTGTTGCAAATGCGAAAATTTGAACCCATCGTTCTATTTGCTTGCGTTGATCCTAAAGCGAAATTCCTGAAAAGGTGGCTTTGGGGAATCTTTCAACAGAAATTAGTTCGCGGTAAAGTAACGAACTGTGAAACATTTATTTCGCAAATGGTGAAATTCTTGATCACTTCGAATAAGTTATCCTTGCCGAATGATCGCTTTGGTATCCCTGGGAAATCCAGAAACGATTTCGTCACTCCGACTGCAATTGCCGTTTGCTTAATAAGTTTCGCGATTAATTTCTCGTCACTTCTATGTTGTAATCGTCTGATCATGGAGAGTGTCTTGCCTATTCAAATATCTGTTCCCGCGAAGAACCTCAGCGTGAACCCAGGTAACATTGTGTCCTTCCTCATCAAATTCTCATGCTGCAACAACTCATCCAACAGGATAGTGATTGATCTTCAGTCGGAAATGGCGGAAAATGTCTGCGAAATTGCATTGTCCGGTTCAAGAATGAACAGATCCGTGATATTTTCCGACCAGTGTGTTCAAGCCATGAGCGAAGCTTTGGCAAAGAAAAATCGTTCTAGTCATAATCTGCGGAATCTTGCCAAGATTCTAAGCAGTGCTGTCTCGTACAAACAGTTCGTAGGTCGATTGCCCGAAGAATTTTGTAAAGTTGTTTGTGTTCTGTGCAAAGAATCATTGTCGAGTAGAAGTCTGAGCCCCGAAAATGCAGACATATCCTTTGAACTCATTGACGCATGTGTGAGTCTGTTGCCAAGTGAAAAACAATCTTGGACTAGTGTGAAGCTGGATCGAGCTTTAGTCGAGTGTCGTCGTAATTTGGATAGGACTTTCATTGGTGTCCTACCAAATGACGCGAGAAGGGTGAAGATCGAGCGCAAACTCAAGTCTGCGATGTTGGCCTGGTCCCGAATCATGAATGTCAAGTGCTAGTAAAGAAACTCCGTCCAAAATTTTGTGCACGCAATCATGAAGGGGATGATTCCCCCCCCCCCCCCCTATAACCAAAATCGGTTGATTTAGTTGTCTCAACTAAACGCCTGTGTTCGCTGTTTCAGGATAAAGTATGCTTCAGTGTAAATAGCTTCTGAAATGGAAGACAAAGACAAGAATGTCGGGAAACCGGTCTTCTTCCAGTTACCTACTGCGCAGATCGTCGATAGCAAATGGCTAGTGACTGCAGCCAGTGGCCAGCAGCAACGATTTTACGCGATTCAACCAACGGCGGCATTGAGTGGGCATTTTTTGACAAATTCCGAAGTGGAAGACGACGTGAATGTAGTGCTTGCTCTTCCCATTCCGCAGCAAGTAAGTAATTTACCCGAGTCCCGACTGACGTTGCTGAATGCATTTATAATTTGTTGATGTTTTGTGATTGTGAGGTGCTCTACACAAGTGACAGGGTTACGACAGAAACCCAGACAGAGCTGGTTGACGTTTCGACACACGATCACTCCAATCCTGGCTCCACGACCAAAACTGTGTTTGAGTGTGACTCTTGCAGAAAAACGTTCAAGCGTATCGATAAGCTGGAGGCCCATCGAAAACTGCACACCGGCGATTTGCCATTTCAGTGCGAACATTGTAGCAAAGTGTTTCCCCGTGCTGATAAATTGCGGTATCATTCCATGTTGCACACGGCTGAAAAAACTTTCCAGTGTGATCAGTGTGAAAAGGCCTTCGCGAGGATTGACAAGCTGAACCGACACAAGGTGGGTAAATTTTTCGCGGTGCCACTTGGATACAGTACTTACACTCGTCTTTGTTGGCTTTTGTTCTCGTGAGAATTATTTTTACCTTACTGCGTTTGTAAAAATATTAATGGTGTAAGTCACTTTTGCCTTATGTAATTAAGTACGTTTTCGGAGTACTGTACTAGAGATCAACTGGATTGAATGATGTTCGAAGATCTGTTCTTTTTGTTCGTGGCTCTTTAGTCGAAGTTTTTTTTTTTTTTTTTTAATCCACAGCGGATTCACAGCGACGTTCGTCCATTTGTGTGCAACATGTGCTTGAAAGGTTTCATCACCAGGGACAAATTGAATCTGCATACAGTGAGTTTATTTTCGACAGCACCTCGCTGGGTTCGATTTCTTTTAAGTCGGGCTTGATTCGGTGAACAGAAAATCCATACCGGAATACGGCCATTTGTTTGCGAAGTGTGTCAAAAGGGATTCATCACGGCAGACAAGCTCAAGTGGCACACGAAAATTCATTCGAGTGTCCGACCTTACGTCTGTGACGTGTGTCTCAAGGGTTTCGTCACACCAGACAAGTTGAGACGACACAAACAAACTCATTCGAAGGACCGGCCGTTCATTTGTGAAGTTTGTCACAAAGGTTTCGTGGCGCCAGATCGACTTAGAATGCACAAGGTGAAACAATTGTGTACTTTTTGTTGTTAGTTGAAACCTTTTTGCATCGGTGTATTCAGTGATAAATTTCAAAACCACTAAGTGATGTTTTTCTTGTTGAGGAATTTTTTTTCCAAGCTCTTCCTTGTCTAGTTCTTGATGCTTTAAGCCTGACGTCCCGAACTTCATGTTCATAGTCTCTTGAATGCTGTCATATTTTGTAAGATTTAATTCAGATTTCCGCATGGAATCTCAATTGATTTCTCCGTCACGCAAGTCATTGAATGCGCCAAGAGAGTTTGTTTGGTATTTTTCGATTCGAATGATCATTTTTTTTTTTTGCTAAGAAATGCTGCAATTTAAATTGAAGATGTGTTCAAATTTCTTTTAGAAAATTCACAGCGGCATCCGGCCGTATGTATGTGATATATGTCAGAAGGGGTTCATCACAAACGATAAACTGAAGATGCATCGAGTGAGTCCACATATCTTGGGATTTTTCTCCTTCTTCTAATAGATTGCAATATGGATTTTTTTTTGGAACAGAGAATTCATTCTGGATTGCGCCCTTATGTGTGCGACGTCTGCGAACGAGGTTTCATCACTTCAGACAAGCTGAAAGCTCACAGGGTGATTAATCGAATCGATTTTTCGTTATTTTCATTTATTTTCATTTATTTTGTAAATTTTTATAGTTTTTAATGATTTTTTGTGTGTTGATTTTCACAGAGGATTCACACTGGAGATCGTCCTTACACGTGTGAAGTTTGTCAGAAGACTTTTATAACTTCTGAACGTTTGAGAATTCATCGGGTTAGTTGTGTTTTGTTGTTGTTGAAGGAACCTGAGTTGTGTGTGATATTGGATATTCTCGTTGTGGCGTTGAATAATTTACGCGTTTTTTGTTTGCTTAGAAAATCCACAGTACTGTGAGGCCCTTCAGTTGTGAAACTTGCAGAAAAGGATTTGTCACTGCGGAACGACTCAAGATGCATGTGAAAATTCACAGCAATGTGCGGCCATTTGTTTGTGAGACGTGCTGCAAGGGTTTCGTGACTGCGGACAAACTCAAGTGGCACCTGGTGGGTTTATTTCAGACGAGGCAAGAAAAAAAGGCTGTTTTTGCGTCAGTTTTGTATTTTACAGAAAATTCATAGCGGGATTCGTCCTTTTCTGTGTGAGGTTTGTCAAAAAGGATTCTTGACCGCTGACAAACTCAAGTGGCATTCCGTGAGTTGATCTCTCATTTGTTTGATGTGTTTCTTGCAATTTAATTTTTAATTTTTGCGCAGAAAATTCACACTGGTGTGAAGCAGTTCATCTGCGAAGTTTGCCAGAAAGCTTTCTTTACTCCGTACAAGCTGAAGTGGCATATGGTTTGTATTTTTTTTTCATATTTTTACATTCTGTAATTCTGGTTTGACGCGGAATAATTTCGACAGAAGGTGCACAGTGGGAACCAGCCTCACGTTTGTGAAGTTTGCTTGAAATCGTTCGTGCATTCTGACAAGTTGAAGAGGCACAGAATGATTCACAGTGGAGAAAGGCCTTTCACGTGCGAAATTTGTTGCAAAAGTTTCACGAGGTGTGTTGCAAAGAAAAGGTTCAATGAAATCTACTGACGATTCTTTTTTTGTTTTTCCTTGCAGGTCCGACAAATTGAAAGACCACATGAAATTGCATAAAGGCATTATCAAACAAGAAGAAATGTCGGGAATCGGTCTTGCCGAGGAGATTATGCGTGCTGATGTTATCCGAGTTGTCACTGACAATTTGGAAACGAAATTAGAGTCTGAAGTCAAGACCGAAACACCTCTGGTTCAACTAAGTATTCTTACTCAGCCAGGTTTGGCTGAAAGTCATTGTGATGAAGTGTTTTGATGTGTTATGGTATTAAAACATTTTTGGATCAGGTCATTCCGTAAACGTGGCTGGTTTTTTGTTGTGGAATTGATGTCTTGAATGGTTAAAACGTTCATTTACTAAAGGTGCGATTTTTGATTGTTTGCTGTGGAATTCGGGAGAAGTTGACTTGGTTTCCTGTTTCGAGTGTGAACTCATTTGTTATGAAAATCGGCTCTTCATCGATGAACTGAGCGTGTGTGTGTGTGTAAAAGGTTGTTTTAGTTTTCCATGTTATTTGAGATCCAGCCACGAAACTCTTCATGTTTATGCATTGCACGAAGAAAAACAAATTCATGAACTGTCTTTGCGGTATGAAATTTTTGTTCTACGATTCATTTTCCAACGTGAAGAACGATTTTTATTTTATTTTTCAGACAACATGCTCTCTTGAAGGAAATTTTTCCGGTGAATTTGAGGCGAAACGCGCGACTCTGAGTGATATTTTTTTTCGTTTACTGGGATTCGACGATGGGGAATTTATTGTCCAACTTTTTCCAAACCGGAACCTCTTTGTTGTCTTCTTCAAACAATCGCGGAGTGTCCGAACAAACCAAGAGCGTTGTTCGAGATGTATTCGATGCCCTGAGGGCGAATCCCAGGATCACTGCTCACAGACTCGAAGGACTCCTCATGCAAATTCCCAAGGTTGACTCTTTTTTCGCATTTTTTAGTTTATTTGACACTTTTTTCAAGATGGAGATTGATGATGATGTGTTGCAGAATGAGAATTTCTTGCTGGTGAACAACGAGGAAGGCTATAATCTTCTGCAAATATGCGTCGGCATTGCGAACATGGACATGGTCAAGTGGATCCTCACTAGGAACCCGGATTTGAACCGTTTCACGCAGTGTTCACTTCCTCTTCACATTGCGTGTTATAAGGGGTAATTTCTGGCATTTCCCGTTCCCAAAGAACTTGATTTGATCTTTTTTTTTCACCATTGTGAGCAGGTTGGACGATTGTGTTGAGCTCTTGATGAAGCATGGGGCTAGGATCGACGTTGAGGCCAGGATGTGCTGGCCTGGACCTCATTTGCCAAATTGCGAACAAAGAGGTGGGTGCTATTTTGTGCAATTCCTTTTTATTTCTGGAAGGGTCGTCAGGTTTCGCTGAGATTGTGCCAAAGAACAGCAATTTTAAGTAACGGTTATGTCTTGGTGAAGATAATCACTGTGTTGGGCTTGGGATTTCTTTTTTCTGTAGACAGGTGAATTTTTTTTACTGTTCAGATTGCAAGTAAGAATGGTTTAAAAGGTGAATTAAGTGAAGTACAAGATCAACTGTGGGAATTACTTTGAGAAATTCCAAGAGAAAGAATGTTGTTTTGGTTGATCAATTCCTCCAAATATTGATAATTTCGCACTGAGAAATCATCCTTGGCAAGGAATATTGAGAAAAATTTGGGAAATGGTAAATCAACACCCGTCTATTGAAACCCCAAAAAGGTTTTGCCCGTGTTATTCATTCCGAGAAAAATGATCATTCGATGATGTAGAATTTTGTCACCAGATGTGCGAAAAAATAATCTGATCAAACACAAAATCAAAATTTTTGCACTTCAGGGAGAAATTTGTGACGTACTGTCAAATGAAAAGAAATTCTGATTGTTGACAGGAAGTTTTTTTGCAGTGTCTTGAAAATCTGGAGACAATTTTAATGAATTCAGAATTTCCGGAGACGCGCGGCAATGGGACAACCCTCATATGATGTGTTTATTTAATTTTGTTTGTGCATTATAATTTAAGCCCATTTTCTTGTTCATGATTGTTTGATTATTCTGTTCTCGAGGGGATGCATAATTTTATTTTTATTTCCTGCGTTTAGTGAATCAAGATGATTTGGTTGACCAGCAAGTGCCAGTGACTCATGGTGGCCCACAGCACGGGTTCTGGGGCCAGCAAAGGAGAGGCTGCGACAAACTACAGAGTGCCATATGCTATGCCATTGATGGAGACCAGGTTGAGACCCTGGAGCTGCTGATGCAGGTTTGTGTGCCACCCTTGCACAAATACGAGTGTTGAAATGGTTCTCCCTGTTGTTTTTTTTTTTTTTTTTTTTTTTTTTTTAAAAGGAAAAAGAAAAAAAGGGGGTAATGACTTCACAGAAGGCCTGTTGTGTCATCTTGTAAAGCTACTTCTATTTTCGATTGGAAGTGGTAAACCTCACTTTCTATTGCGATTCTTCCAACTGCATCTTCACCGAGATGGAGAAAACCTAAGCCGTCATCCTCATGTTGTTCAACCAAAGAATTCCCGATTATGCGTTTTCGGGAAGAAAAAACGAAGGAAATTAATACTGGTGTTAGAGAATAAAGAATTTGGACTCGTCGATCGCTGATACTGGAGGTAGTGTACCGTACATGATTTACAGGTTTAAGAGAAAAAATGGCTGCTTTTTCGTAGATCTCAATATATACGGATGCACTTGAGGTCGTGAGAAGGTGAGCTGTGAAATGTTGAAGCTATATTGATTAAAAATGGAAGCTGGAACAAAAACGTGCTGCATACTATTTTGTTTATGTGTTTTTACGAACCGTAAGTTTGATCATTTCCCCTGTTAATCTGCGCGTGGATTTCATAGCATGATCCTTATGGTTAACAGAAACGAGGCGAACTGAAATACTTTGCATTTTTCGTTTGTTTGTGCTCGGGCTTTGGTGTCAAAGAAGGAAAAATTTTTCTAGGATATATGATGGTCGCGGTTGTTTTTTTTTTTTTTTTTTTTTTTTTTGCATTCGAAAGGAAGAAAGAAAAAAGGGGGATAATGGTGTTGACGTGTTTTGTTTTTGGGGGTTGTGCAGCAAAGCGAGGACCACTGGTTCCCATGGCATGGCAAGCGGCCCTTGCTGCACATTGCGTGCGAGCGTGGGGCCTGGTGAGGGTCTTTTTTCTCTCTCTTTTTTTCCAGTCTTTCCTAATTTTTTTTCGGGAATTATTTTTATATATTTTTTTAGATCTCTTATTGGTGATTTGGTTGTCGGGTGGGAGGGTGTTCGCTGTGTTGTTCGATTTGCGTGTTGTGGATTCGAATCCCGTGTGGTTTTCTGGTTTGTTTTGCAGGAGTTGTACGAGGTATCTTGTCTCTGAGCGGTCGGAGGAGATCAATCAGTGCTATGACGAGTATTATCCGATTCATCAGGTGAGACGCTCTTTATTTTTTTTTAATGCATACAAGTGGTGGCCCTACGTGCGGATGATTCGACTTTGGACACTTTGAACTTGAAAAGTCTGCACCGACGTTTGGACGATGTTTCGAGAAACGGACACTTCGTCAGCATTTCTAGAAAAGGAAAAAGTGTAGTTTTTTAAAATCTCTCTTGAAAAATTGAGCTGTTTATGTTCAAGAATTGAAAATAAATTTGTGAGAATTGTAAATATATTTTCTGAATTGAAAAATAAATTTAAAAAATTTAAAATATATTTTAGATTGAAAGAAATGAAAAAATTGAAAATGAAGTTGTGAAAATGGAAGATGAATTTTTCATAAATTTTAATATTCTTAATCCAAAACAACCTGATTTTTTATCATTCATGCAAGGAATAGAGAAAATCGCGCTATTTTCTGAATTCTGGTATCTTTTGAAAAAATGGAGCCATTTATGTGCAGAAATTTTAAAAATTCATTTCTGATAAATTTGTACTGATTCATTATGCGGACCAGGCTAATTTTGTGCTTCTTATGTAGAGTATTTTTAATAATCTTTTGCACAGAATATGCAGACTTGCCCTTATAATTTTCTTTTTGGGCTATTTTTCTTGCGGCTGTGTGGTTTTCTTTCAGTACAGTTTCTTTCTGTATCTTGAAGTTGAGCTAACAATTTTTTGGAAAAATTTTCGTAATTTTGTATTAATGGGAGAACGAATTCAAATACACTTTTATTAAAGTCTATAGGAAAATGGGATCCAACATGCGGATTTTTTGACGTAGGGACAAGTACATCCGCATCTCGGGGCCCCAGTGATAGCTTGCTGAATATTTGCTTTCAACACGTGGCATTTTATTTTGGCAGGCGGTGTTGCATGACCAGAGGTTTCTGGATCTGTTGATTCAGTGTGGCGCAGAGACCACAGTGAGAACTGCGACGCAGCAGATGACAGTTTTGCATATTTTATTCCTCCTTGGGTGGAAGTCTGCTGAGGAAACCCTGAGCACACTGAAGGTCTGTTTTTCTTTTCTATTTTTTTTAACTTCAATTATATTTTGAAATTTGTTTTCATGACTGTGATGATTTTGATGTAGTTGCTGTTGGATCATGGAAGTCGGGATCAGATTAATCAGGCTGATTCCCTGGGCAACACTCCGTTGCATGCGCTGATTGTAAGGTGTGCATTGGAGGAGTCGAGATATGGATACGCTTATGACTCACCCATTCAACCCTGGAACAAATGGGACATGTTGCATTTAGTCCGGTTTCTCCTTCAGGTGCGTTTTTTCTTTTTTTGTTATGAAGTCAAACTTCGAAGGACCAGCCGAAAAAAAATGGACTTGGAGATTTTTACCAGTTGGGGAAAGTTCGCTGGGGTGAATAGAAATAATGAATCACAGGAATTTGAACTTTATGATATGAGGTGACAGGATGTTGAACTTGGATGCAAGAGTTCGTTTCAATTTTTTTTTATGAAACACGTCAAATAACACTTTGTTGCTTTCTCTGTCTTGGGTTCTCAGAATAATTTCCCATAGTCCTCCAGAAATCGGAGTTGAGGTTTAAATATATTAAAAATTGTACTTGTTGGGGGCTAAGCAAAATTTTGACGTGGGAAGGTTTTCGTTTTGAGGAAATTCAAGTTTTCATAAGGGAGATAATGGTTTTGACGGATAATGGCTCGAGATACAGACACTTGGCCAACATTTCTAAAATATATAAATCTTGAAATTTTATTTCTTTATCTATTAAAAAAGTGAGCTATTTATATTTAGAAAAAAGGAAATAAATTGTAGAACTGTATTCTAAATCGTGACGGAAAATCACGCGGACCGCCAACATTTCGTATTGAAAAAAAAAAAAAGAATTGATTGAAGCAGGAATAAGAAAATGTAGTGAAAAAATTTTCCAATATTAAACCACTAAAAGAAAAATCGTGAAGTATTTTTTTTAATTGCAAATTTCTCTTCCTGTTTCCATTATTTTCCCATAATTACTGTGCTATCTTTCCAGAATGGAGCTGGTCCGAGCATAAATCAAGCCGGGAATTCCGCATTGGCTTGCGTGTTCCAGAAAGTGAGGGATTGGGAGTTCCGGTATGAATTGCTCGACATGTTATTGCAGCACAAAGGTATGATGACCTTATTTGACGAGGATTTTTTCGCATAGGCGAGGTCAATTTTATAAATTGGAAACCCTGTTGCATTTGAAGGTGATCCGAATGTTGTTGGGAGAGACGGATCAGTTCCATTGATGGTGTGCTTGGTTCCTTTGATCAACAAAGACAGTCCGCAACATTTCACTCATACCATGAAAGTGTTTTACTTGAATTGCGTCAAGTTGATGTGTAAGAAGGGTGCAAATCCCAATTGTTGCACCAGGTAAGTGCTTGGATGTTGAAGAGCTTCTTCTTGATGGTGAATTCTTGTGTGACGTTTTTTTTTTTTTGCAGATCAAATTTGAGCCCTTTGCATGTGCTGATGTTCTCTGTGAGTGAGAACCTGACCTTGAGGTGGAATGAGGAGAAGAATGAATCATTCCAGGTAAGTGTACTCAATAAAAAGAAGAATTTGTTGTCTCCAAATTCGCTTGGGGAAAATAAAGGAAAGCTACTTCAATTTCTAACAAGTAAATTTACTGGAGTCTCAGTCACCTCAGTGATGTTCTCCCATACCTGAACAATTAATTGTCACTTGGCTTGAGCATAGATACAAGATTACTGGTGGTCCTTCAACATGTAACTTGCTTTAATCATTTAAATTTTCAAAATTTGCCAAAATGTCCAAGTTTGCCTGGGCACACCCAGATTACAGGTTTTCAAACATGTGATGTTCTCTAATCATGAATATTTTCCAACTCTCATTGTCATGAGAATTAATTTTTTATTCCAGGATACTCCTGGAGTATGCCTTACCTAGGCAGGATTTAATCCAGGGTATTTCCAAGTTAAATTCAAGTAAAAAGACAGTTTCCAACAACTTTTTCAGTAGACTTCCATGTAACCTAAAATTTGGTTAAAAATTGAATGCCGGCGTAAGACACACAAGCCTTTCCTAAGGACTGAAAATTAAAATATTTTGAAAATAAAATGCATTAAAATTTGAATTTTGAATTGATTATTGTTCATTTACATTTTCAAAATGTCTGTAGAAATTGGGTAAAAATTCCTTGTTGGAATTACATTCTGTATCCACAGTATTTATAGCATGATTGACATTATTATTTTTTTTGCAGTTTCTCCAAGACCTGCTGATCGTGCTTCTGGAGCATGGCTTGGACCCGAATGTGCGATTTTCTCAGCGGAACCCGCATGTGCTGTTTGCCCTTGTTGAAATGGCGTCGAGGAATGCGAGGAATCCTCCGGATCTTCACCCAGTTTGCGAATTGACTCGCACTTTGTTGTTGTATGGAGCGAATCCGAATGCTTGCTGCCATTTGCCGCAGCTTGGGGAATGTCAACTGCCTCCTCCTGCCGTCGTCGCTGGACGTCCGAAGGAATCTAGTTTCTTGAAGAGGTGATTTTTTGGAATCAAGTGACTCCTTTTTGGGACCATTTTTTTATCATTCAAAGTTGACGATTTATATCTTTTTGCAAAAATTTCAATTGTTTTCTCACTCGAGGTTGTTTTATGAGTGACTATGGCAGCCATAATGTGGTTTTTTTTTAAAGACTTGCTACGTGTTTATTCTGAATGATTCAAGATGCAATTGAATTAGGAACTTCGCGAAGTTGAGTGACGCATCAAAAGTCATTTTGAAAACGTTTTTCCGGTGCCGTCATATGTTTTAATCGAAATTTGAAGATTTCCCCAATTTCTTGGCAATTTTCCTTCTCTTAATTTTAAGCTTGAATGTAACATTTTTATTGTTGAGCCTTCGCCAATTGACTGTTTATCTCTTTGTTTGATGCTTCTTCAATTTCTTTGAACTAACGAATATTTCGTGTGGACATTCCTTTTTCACGAGTGTTATTCAGTTATTTTTATTTTGTTTTAAGGCTGCACCAAGGTGGACATTATGCCCTCGTTACGTATGTGCAATGGTTGTTGAAGAAGGGAGATGCATTCTTGGTTGGTGGACCCGCGGAAGAGGTTGAACATTACATGCGACTGGTGAATCTGTATTATGCTTCTATGAGCCACCAGGATCTGAGCAGGTTTGTTGTGTGCATTTCCACTCGTCTGAGTTGCATCACTTGCGTTGAGGGTGTGACTTTTTTTTGGTATTCCGTGAATCTTTGAGCTGTCGTTTCTTCTCAATAAGTCCTTGGTTTGAGAATCAGATCCGATTGAAAAAAGAAATGAGTAAGCGAAAATGTCGCTTTCTGCGTTGTCAGTATTTTTTATTAGGAAAAGTTACGTTTAATCCTTGTGAAAATAAATTTCCGAAAGCATGTAAAAAATCTGACGAGATGTTGATAAAATGAATAATATGCCTTTATTAATGATCATTAAAAACTAATAATGAAATCTTCGTTATTCATGTTTTCAACATCTCTTCAGATTTATTGCATTCTTTTGGACATTTTTTTTCACAGGGATTAGACGTAACTTATCCTAGTAAAAATTCTGACACCACGAGAAGCTAGATTTTTTTTTTACCTGAAGTGCCTTGCAAATTTTTTTCAGATCAGCAAACAGATAATTACAGTCCAACCAAGAATGGGGAGATTATTCCCTATTCTAATTAAACAAAAAAAAATAAGAATAGGGAGGTTTTCAATGCATTTTTTCCACGGGAATTCCGACAGGGACTGAATTGGAAAGAAATCGACGGAGGGTGGTTTGAGAAACTTAGTTTCAATCGTATAACATTCTTCAATGTTACTGTACGTCTCTTTTGAGTTTGTCAATTATGTTGAGCATTTCAAAAATTTCGCGTGATTAATGCTTAATTTTTTTTTTTTTCGCTTGACAGGTGCTTGAAAGCCCTGCAAAACGTGGCAAGTTTGGCCCCTGCGACGAAAGGGACAGCATTCCTGGCATCTCGACTCCGCCAACTACATTCCACGCCGCGGAGTTTGAAAATGAATTGCCGAGTGGTCATTTACAAATCTCTGAACAGGAAGCCCGGAGTTAATGCCTCTAGATTACCACTTCCGACTTCCTTGAAGGAATACATTTGCGCCCTGGACCCTCGATGATGACGTGTCTGCTAATGTTTTTTTTTGTTGTTTTTAATTGAATTTAATGTTTGCTGTCTCTTTCGGATTATTGACGTACGTTTTGGTTTTTTTGGGGGGAGGACATCTGGGAGGAGAGATGAACGTTCCATCCTGACACCTTTGCTAAATTTCTAAAACATTTTCAGTACTACTACGTGTAGTAGTTAATTACAATTAATTCCACTCCAATTAACGTCTGAGCTCGTCATCTGTGCACGTGAGAGTTTATAAATTGGTTTACGAAGGTTGATTTTTTTTTCCTGTGTTCTCTGTTCCGAGAAATATTCTTTTTGAATTAGTTGACATCACGATTTGGAACAGGTCGGAACTTGAATTACACAGCGAATATTTGGGATACATTGAAGAAGGAACGAGAATTGCGCAAGTTTTTGCGCAGATTAAAAAAAATAATGATTATAGTCCTCCTCCCAGTTGACCTGATTCAGCATTAAAAAAGTGCCTGGAAGTGTACCCTTCCCGAGCTGGTGTTGTTTGTTAAGCGGAATCTGCGAGAAGTGCAGGGAAATTTTAGTGTGAAATTCCCCGCTTTCTTTTTGTTGTTGAGAATAGTAAAAAAAAAGGAAAAAAAAATTCGTTGTTCCCCCCTCTCCTAATGGCAAATTTTGCTTCTGTATTTCAGTGTGATCCTTTATTGGTGTTGAAACGGATGGGATTCCAGAAAAAAAAATTGCAGTCTTCAGGCTCAAGTTTTAGAGAGAAGAATCAAAGTTTTTTGTTCAGGGAATCTTTTTCTTTTTTCTTCAAGTTGTAGACAAATTAGGGGTTTTTGAAACTCCGGTTTTTTGTTGTTCAAGGGGCATTCCATTCAGAATTCTGGGTGTTTTTTTTGTATGCTGTGATGGGATTTTTCGGTTTTTCAATTTTATCCTCCTCGAGATTGAAATTCGTTTTTATGAAACACGATTGTGTTTATTCACTATGTTACAAATGTTTTTTGATGGAATCGATGTTCGCAGGGAGGAAGAATAAGAAACAAATGATTAGGGACATGATCTCGTTTGTGTGAATGAAGGATTGCATCGTGTCTGTGAGTGTGTGTGAATGAATACGGTTCCCCGTGAGATGCATTAAAAAAAAACTTTCATTTCAAAATCTTTAAATTTCTCTCGTTTCTTCGTTTTTCTGAAATTCTTGCCTTTTTTTGGGATTTTGTTTCATTTAGATCATGGAGAAATGTTCGAGTGAGAAGACGAGAACCATGACGAGTGTGACGAATTCCGAGTCGGAAGTGATGGCGATTCGGAGACGCGAGTCTCGCATGGAATTGACTGAAGACGGAAGAATCAAGCCTTACGTCAGCTTCGACGGATATTTTCAGCTTTCCGGAGAAACTCCGCCGACTGTCGATAAAAATGCAGTTTCATAAAACCACGAAGATACAAATAAAAAGCTTTATCTTTGTTTTATTCTGAAGCATCGGTTGATTTTTAAAAATTTTTTTTGAAAAGAAGACGGGGAATTTTGCCGAGATTTTGAGTTGACGTGACTGATTTTTTTTACAGATGCGAAGATGGATAGTCTTCGTTGTTTTTATTCTCGCGACGATTTTTCTGGTTTCTCAACTGCGAACAGTGGGTGAATCTGGGAAAGTGTCCCTCAAAACGTGTGAAAAATTCGATTTCGACGAGATTTGGAAATTACCTGAAAAAGTGAGCTGAATTTCCTTCCTGGGGTTTTTTTTGACGGGCGTGAAAATTATTTTTTGAGATCAGATTTCACTGTAATGTAAAATATTTTTCGTGATAAAGTATTTTGAAAACGTTTTACAATGCATCTTTTGAGACTACTGTATATTTTGTTCTCTCATTCTATCGAGCAAACCGAAAGTGTTTATTTTATTTCAGAGAAGTCATTGATGGTCAAGTTGCTATAAATTTACAATTGAAACGGAAAAAAAGTTTTTTCGTTGATCCAGAGGATTATTTTCATGTTTTTTCAATGATTCATTGAATGACTTGAAAATACCTGTTCAGCATATCTGTACATACATATATATATATTTTTTAACACTCCTTTTCCTTTTTCTCCAGTGGTTTCAAAATGACAGACTCTATCTTGAGAAAGACCAACCGCAAGTCATGCTCACATTGGAGGCAATGCGTTGTGCTAAAATCCTGGCAGCTGATGTTGCCAAATTTGGCACTCAGTTTAAAATTCTCTTGACCCTGGAAGGTGGCCAGAAAGCGCTTTTCAAGCCCATGTGGTGAGTTTCAAAGTCCCCTTTGTCTGAAAGTATCACCAAGTCCAGCATCCTGTCAACTATAATACAGTATTTACAAATAAAAAGGATTAGTTTCCTGGAAATTTGCTGGAATACTCTCCAAGTCATGCTTTTCTTGCTGGTCCCTTTTGGGAGATTCAACTTCAGAATAAACTGACAATAAATTTAATTTTCTCATGATGGCTTGAAAAATACAATAATTCCATCCATTCCAATTTATGCAGGTATCCTGTGGATCATGTGATAACTGAGGGCATCATTCATGGGAAGGACAGACACCGTGGAGAGATTTTCGCCCTTTATTTGGACTTATTATTTGGATTCGCCAAAGTTCCCCTAGTCACTGGAATTTTTCTGGACTTCAATCACCTCTTATCCAAGGGTTCAGAAAGATTGAGACGCACTGTGTTCAATAATGGTGAGTGAGTCTGAATATACATGACCCAGAATCTGGGATTCATGTTTGATTTTTTTGTATTGAAGGATCTGAAACTTGTGTGATTGGAGAATGCTATTACTGCAAGAAGGAGGACGCATTTTGTTTCCCTGCTGACAAGCCTGTTGTTGAAGGTGCTTTGGTGTTGTGGTTGCCAGAGAAGATTAAATTGCAGCATTTGAGGAATCCTTGGGCAAGGAAATATGCAAAGGGAAAAATGGCCAAGTGAGTGTTTGCTGAGAAAAAAAAATGCATTCAAGAAAATGTTTTTTAAAGACATGTTTGTGTTGAGCAGGTGGCAATATGACCCCAACTTTTGCCAGAAGAATGTTCTAAGACGCGAGTTTTTCCAAGGATTTGGACGTGCACATGAGCATCCCATGTTTCTTGACATGATGGACACTGCAGTGTTTGACTACTTGATGCTCAATGGTGACAGACACACATATGAATTGATGGCTTTACCTGCACCCAAGAATGGATCCATTTTGCTGCTTGACAATGGGAAAAGGTGGGAGCATTGAACTGCCTAATACCCACACACACAGGGATGTTGTATTATTTTTTAGTTGATGATAAGTCTTTTGCGAATTGACAAATACTGTACTTAGAATGCAATATTTAGATGTTGTCTAAGTTATGCTGGTGAACAAAACAGTCTTCCAAGTATAAAAAATAGTTCAATACATTTTACATTACAACAATTAGATTTCTAATTTATGAAGAACTAAATTAATGAAGAAGGAATTTTGCTGGCTCAAACTCAGTTTAAATCTTATATTTATTTGTGGTATTACTTTGTTCAACTTTTTAATTTCAAATTTAAAACTTTATTTTCAACCATGTAGAACTGGGGTGTGTGTCTTATGCAGGGATACATTGAAGAACAAATTTCATGTCAAAAAACGGAGGTGCAAGCCATATTGTAATTTACAATACAATATTCAGATGTTGTCCAAGTTCTAATTAATTAAAGTCTTTTTCAAATAGACAAATAGTTCAATCCATTTTACAGTACAATATTTCTTTCACATCTTGGACACAATTACTCAGAAGTATGAGGACAAGAAATATTTCCAAATTACAGTATATACTTGAGTAAGTCTTTCTGAGAATATTTTTAGAGCTGGGGAAATTCTGAAGGTTTTTCTTTACTACAGAATGTATGCAAATTCATCTGAAAACCAGAATGAGGGACTCCAGGGATTTCTTCATGTTTTTGGGAAATACAGTGACATGAAGATTGTGAAGCAAGGAGAAATCAGTACACAAGTGATAATATTTAATGGAAAAGCTCAACTTCCATGTTACTCCCAATTTTCTTGAGTTATTGTAAAATAAAGAAATATCCAATAACAATCAGAGTGTATTGAGAAAGGTTTAGGAATTATTCAGGGATAAGCAGGGTTACTCAATTTAATGTGACTCCTCTTTTCAGTTTTGGAAACCCTGGCTGGAATGGTTATGATGTGCTGGCACCCTTGCATCAGTGTTGCTAGTGAGTATATTCAGTTTCATTTACACCAGCTTGTGGTGTATAAATTATCTATTTATTTTTCCTTCAGCTTGAGAAAATCAACTTGGATCAAGTTGGAGCCATTTGTTGAGCATGACCTTTTGCTGAGTAAGAAACTGAAGCAAATGTCAGTTGCTGATCCTGTGAATCCCTTGCTGAGTGAAGCCCAATGGGAAGCCTTGGATGTCAGACTGAAGAGACTCAAAGACATTCTCGAGCAGTGTTTTCATGAAAAAGGGGGAAGAGAGAATGTCTTGGTCTCTTCTTGAAGAAAAAAAAAAGAAAAGGAAGACCGTTAGAGATCTGCGTGGGAAACATGATTGTCTGCCTTGTTTCAGAGCTGGCTTTTTGCGCGCTGAGTGAGAGGCATTGAGATTTCACGCGTGCAAACCACCGAGTGCGCAAAACAGCAAGTACATGTGTCCCCCTTCAGATCGACTATTCTGCATCACCCGAAAGCCGGATTTTCAGCAACCAGTTTTGCAGGACACGACAACGTCTCTGTGCTGATTTTCAACACCACCAGGGAGAAACTGGTGTTTGTGCGACAATTCAATCCTTCAGCATACGTTTCCTCCCTGCCTGAGGATGAAATTGGAGTCGGAAATTGTGTTTCTGTGGAGAAATACCCGGCGAACACGGGATTCACTGTCGAACTCTGTGCTGGGATCGTGGATAAGAACTTGAGCTTGGAGGCAATTGCTGCTGAAGAATGTGGGCATGCAGTGGATCCTAGAAAGCTGGAGAAAATTGTCAGCATCATTGGAAGACCTGGACTAGCTGGATCTTCTCAGAACATATTCCATGTTGAGGTGAGGATTTTTGAACTTGGTAATTTGAATAGGACCCTATATGCCGCCAAAAGTCTAAACGCATTTCTAAAATTGAGAACTTGAAAATACATTTTGGATCAAGGGGTGGTTTTAGACTTTTGGTGCTATTGAAACCCTCAAAATTTGGAACTTGACAAGTATGCTTGCATAATTGAAGAATATATTTATTAGTCTAATATGATATTTCTTTTCTTTACAGGTACAATTGGGTTGACCGGTGCAGAAGGATTGATTTTCGTGCAAAAGCAGAGGAAAAACGGTTTCGTGGCGACACTCGTAGCAGATATGAGCTGGTGGACCTGCACTTCTGGGACATTTTTTTGTCATTTTTGTTTTTTTCTACCAGTGAGCCAAACAAGTAGATGCCGAATGTTGGACGCCATCTTTATGGCCTTTTTGTGCTGAATTGTGCCAGTCCATTGAGTCTACCATCCTCCTTGAATTTGCTGGGCAATGCTGGAGATTACTATAATGTATTTTCAATTCTGCTCCATGATAACGTGGGAAATTATGATGTAGGTAGGTAATGATGAGGTAATCACCATATTTACTCGAGTCCACCATCCCCATCCTGTAAAAAAATGAAGTGCATGTTACACTTGGATACAAAATTTTCCAGTAAATTATCTTAAACCTTCCCCCAAACTTATAATGGCTTTTTACGGCTTCCTTTTTGTGATTCTTCGTTTGATTCAAATTAAGACAGAAGTCAATTTCCGAGTAGTCAATTTTTCGTAGTTAATGAAGAGTACTATGGATGAACACTTTTTTCAGTACATTATCAAACTTATGCTACACTTTAAAATGTTACCTTTGAGGTATTTTCTTTTATGCATGAAAATAATTTTAAGAAGGCTTTTATATTCAGACTTTTACCCCTCGTAGTTTTACGAGGGGTAAATAGTCTAAAAGCGTTTTTCTGGAAAATTCGAGCTTGAAATTTAAGGTGCTGCGTGTGGTACTCTAGTAAATATGGCAGAAGCAGTTGATGCATGAAGAAATCTTCAGCATTGCCCTTTATTTTGATGATGGAGGATGTTAGACTCTGGTCTGGTACAGTTTGGCACCGTCCGACATTCGGCGCTATTTGTTTGGCTCACTGGAGTAATATGAAGAAAAGGAAACAATTGTTTTCATATCCTTCCTGCATAAATACAGTGAATAAAAAATAATTTTATTCACTACATTTCTCATTTATTCCCAGAAAATATAATACTTTCATAAATGTACTTTCAATTATGTATTGAATTCACAATTATAAATTGTTGTCACAACCAATTGTTTCTGTCTACTTCAATTGAAGTAATTTTCATACATTGATGCAATATTGCACATATTATCACATGCAATATTATCCAAGGATAACATGCACTTCTTTTTTTTAGGTTTTTTTTAGAGGTATGATACTTTAAATTTCACTCCAGTGAGCCAAACAAATGGCGCCGAATGTCGGACGGTGCCAAAGTGTACCGGACTTAAGTCTACCATCCTCCTTCATCAAAATAAAGGGCAATGCTGAAGATTTCTTAATGGGTCAACTGCTTCTGCCCCATGCAAGAAATAACGTGTCTTCTGATGAAGAAATATATGCATCTTTTAACTTGAGTGAACACCATATTTACTCGAGTACCACACGCAGCACCTTAAATTTCAAGCTCAAATTTTCCAGAAAATCGCTTATAGCATCATAAGACTATTTCAAAAACTACGCGGGGGAAAAATCTAAATATACAAGCCTTCTTTAAAATATTTTCATGCATAAAAGAAGATACCTATACGGTAAAATAGTGTAGCTTAAGTTTGATAATGTACTGGAAAAATTGTTCATGGATAGCTTCCAAAATATGTACTCTTCATCTACTACAAGGGTGAAACATTTAAATACAAGCCTACTTGGAAATTGACTTCTGTCCTGATTCGAATGAAACAAAGCAACTATAAAGGAAGCCATGAAGAAGCCATTTTAAATTTGGGGAAAGTTTGAAGGTCAAGATAATTTACTAGAAAATTTTGTATCCAAGGCTAACGTGCACTTCATTCTTTTTATTTACTCGATGGGAAGGGTGGACTTGATACTCGAGTAAATATGGTGATTAAGTTCAATCATAATTTCCCACATTATCATTATGCATGGAGCAGAATTGAATATCCATTATAGTCATCCCCAGCACTGCCCAGCAAATTTAAGGAGGATGGTAGACTCAATGGTCTGGCACAATTCAGCACAAAAAGGCCATGAAGATGGCGTCCAACATTCGGCATCTACTTGTTTGGCTCACTGGTAAAAAAAAAAAACAACAATGACAAAAAATGTTCCAGAAGTGCAGGTCCACCAGCTGATATCTGCTACGAGTGTTGCCACGAAACCGGTTTTCCTCTGCTTTTGCACGAAAATCAATCCTTCTGCACCAGTCAACCCAATCGTACATGTAAAGAAAAAAAAAATTATATTAGACCAATGAATATCCTCTTCCATTAAGCAAGCATACTTGTCAAGTTCAAAATTTTGCGGCTTTCAATAGCACTAAAAGTCAACACCGCTTGATCCATAATGTAATCAGTTCTCAATTTTAGAAATGCTCTTCGACTTTTGGTAGCATAGGGTCCCTCAAAAATCAAGTACAGCAGCGGTATTTAATAGAAGAACATTTTGAAAAACATCATAAATTTACATATACTGTACTTGATCTACGATTTTTATGAAAAAATGAGACGGAAAATGAGAATATGAAATGATACTTTCTGTGAAGATTTCTCTAAAAATCAACGTCAGAGAATTTCGTATTTGAATTTAAAAATACGTGCAATATTAATTTTTCAAAATTATTATGTAAAAATGCATTTTTAAAAAGTCAGTTTAAATCTTTTAAATGACTTTTGAAATGCATACTTGCAATGTTGGACAAATTTCTTTTCTGTATAAGTACAGTGAATTTCAATGAAAGCTACAGACATTGTTCTTGATTTTATTCCAGTGAGCCGAACAAATAGAGCCAAATGTTGGACCAACCATGCCAGACCCGAGTCCACGTCACCATCCATCCTCTTTCATCAAAATAAATAAAAGGCAATGCTGCAGATCTCCTTTTGAAATGTGTGTCTTTCAGAACTACTATATCCCGCATTTTACTCATATGCCACGCGCACCTTCAATTTTTAAGCTGTAATTTTGGAGAGGAAAATGCTTTCCCGCATGAACCATATTTCAGTTCCCAAAATTCATGAACGAACTTGTTCACTTAAATTTCTGATGCTTCATTATTTTGCGGATAATAGAAAAGTATCATAAAAGAAGAAACCTTAAAAGACATTTGAAAACGGGGGAAGAGTTTAGGAAATATACTGGAAAAATTGTATTTTATGCCCTACATAAATACGAACCAACTTATACCTGTTCCATACAAACAATTACAAAGAATCATGATGACAAAAGAAACCTTGAAAACATTTAAAAGTGGGGGGAAAAGTTAGAATCAAGATTTCTTAGTCAGACGCACATCTCAAATTCATAAAATGCAATGAGTAAAAATCTGAAGGTTCACGTTGTGTCTTGAGAAATGAAAAACAAAGCAATCATGAAAGAAGAAGAAGTTATAGTGCGCATGGTCCTCAAGCATGATGACGGTGAAAATGCATTAGTAATCTCCAGTAATGCCCTGTTATCCCCTCATTTTAAAAGGACGATGGCGGTAGACTCAAAGGTCTGGCAAAACTTGGCACAAAGGCCATAAAAATGCCGTGTCCAACATCCGGCACCATTTTTTTGGCTCTCCGGTACACGCTTCGTAAACACAAGATATTCACTCAAGTACATTGTCATCACAGCTTCTCCCGCAAGTAGATTTCAGCTTCCTCCAGCAACTGCTTCATTTCACCAAAACCACCCACTTCTTTGGCAGCACTCAATCCCAGCCACTGAAAGGCCCGATGCTCTTCAGACAAAATCACTGGAGTTGTGGGGTTCCTCAGCTTTGCCAGCCAGTAAATCACAGTTTTTGGCTCCCCCTTCACTAAATACTGTTAAAAGAAAAAAAAATATTGGGTAGATATTTACATTTCAAGTTTAAAAAAATTTAAAATCTTACTTCCAAAGTCCTCTTGAAATTGGAGTCAACTTCTAAATCAGCTGCTCTGAGTCCAGCTTCTTCCTCAGTTTCTCTGAGTGCAGTTTGCATGTCATTCTCACCAGGGTCCACATGTCCTGGAAAAATGGATTCCAAGTTCAGCACAAATTCATTTCATCAATTCACAACTGTGATTTGTACCTTTTGGAGGTGTCCAATGGAAAGTACCATAGGAAGTCTGCATCATGAGATATTCAATCACTCCATTCAAATGTCTGTACACCACTAGTCCTGCTGCTCTTTTCATGCCTCTTCAAAACACTTGTCTGAAATATATAAAAGTATATACAGTACTGTATTATAATTCACTTGGGGCACTTCAAGAAAGAATGTTATTTTCATATAAATGCCAACAGCAGAAATAGTTCAACACCCTTGTTTATTTCCATTCACAGCAGGGAACACTGGACGGACGCCGATTCAACACAACATATTTCCCACTTGGTTCAGTCCAGAACCAACAAACAAACTACCTTTTAAAGCCACCACAAAAAAAAACAACAACAGAAAAGCACTGCAAAAATCACACAATAACGCAAATCCACACAAAAATGTTCCCTTTGATTGTCAATTTCCTTCAGGGATGTTCAGATATGGCTTTGGCAGCACCCACAGCCGCGTCTCCAGACTGCCTGAGCACAAAAGGCAACTCAAACTGCAGACCAACTTCATCCCTCAATGCCTGATTCTTGATCAACGCAGACCCCGTGCCCAGAATGCCCTGAACCCCAGATGCCCGCAGGAACTTGACTGGCATCATAGCAAGCAAGTTACTCACTAGACCGCGGCACAGGGCACGGGTTACTCCGGAAGCACTGAACCCATCGGGTCCCAGATTGGAAATGCTTCCCCGACTGGCAGGAAGATGACGCTCGCCAAACAACAATGGAGACGCTGTGCTGTTGGTGTTGAGGGCATCATCACCAGCTGCTGCGCGGGTCAACACCTGCAATAGTTTCAGATTGAATTAGAATTCACCCGACCAAAATGAATATTGCATCATAAATTGCATAAATAAATGTTGCATCATAAATTGCATAAAAATATCAGGTTGATTTTGAAATATTGCACAGTGAAATCTAATCACGAACAACTTCTGGTGGCTTAAGACCTTTTTTATACTAGACAGTATAAAAATAAATATTAGAATAAATAAATATTATTTTCAAGTATCAATTAGAGCAAACAATTATGTAGGGTATTTCCAAATTTTTGCAAACCCTTTCTGCCAGGACTTCGGAAAAAGTTTGTTATACTGAACTCAAAAATGTGTTGGAACAATATTTTACTGTGCTTAAATCAGTAGTTTCCTCTATCTTCAACAGAAATTCATTGAGAATTAGTTTAGATTCATTTCCAAGGCCATTTGAAAAAAATTACATTGCATTTAAACACAACAATCCAAAAGTATTCCTGAATTTTGATGCATCTGATGAATTCTTGGCTTTTCTCACGATTTCCAGACGTTTAATTTGAGCCTCTGTGGCATTTGCTTGAGAAATGCAAGAATACCTTAGATTTTTGTAGAGAGATAAGCTTTCCAGGGAAGACAAAATTGTTTTTTTTTTTGCACATATTCATTGGAGAATGCAAAAAAAAGACTCATGTATACAATCAGAAGACTCCTCATTCAAATAAAAATAAAGACAAAATCCACACCAACCTGCCAAAGGGTGTCATCAGCCACTGGGACCCCAACCAACTTGAACACTTCACTAAACATGGCAATCCATTTGGCAAGAACATTCCCACCATTGAGACTAGCAGCTACAGCCAAATACGTTTTTCCAAAATAAGGCCAGTACTGAATTGGCTGAGACCCATTTCCTTCCACCTGTTGGAAAATAAAAAAAAACATGATCAATGAGTCTCCACTCAACAGAAACCCTGATTTGCAAAATGGAATACTGTATTTTTAGTTTATACACAAAAACAAATTTTTAGCACACAATGAAATTCAATTTTGGGATCAAAATGAATCAATTCTAGCAAGTTTAGTGCATGCACTTTTGGAATTGTTTTCCAAGACAAAGCAAACCTTGTACAAGTATTGACAAAAGATGTTCAACTGTCAAAAAATAAATAGATTCTTAAGGTCAAGAGGGTTTTTCTTGAGTATTCAGGAGAGATCAACTTGCTTCATCATCAACAGCAATTCAGGAACCCATTTCCAGAATTGAAAACTCATTTGCAAAATAATCCTTTTGTTGCAAAAAAAAATAAAAAAATAAACCTCACAATTGGTTTGAAGTCTGGCTTCATGACAAAGCTGAGTTGTGCGCTGGTTGAGAAATTCAGCACAGCATTCTTCTCATTCCTGTCCCTGGAATACGACAAGACAGAGTGCACAGCGCATTGCATGTCTCCAAACGCCGCACCTACACTAGTACCAGCCGGTACTCCACACCACGTCTCCTTCAATCTCCCAGCCTTAAACCTGGGCTCCTCCACTTCGGGTAAAAACAGCAAAGGAAACCCCGCGTCTTTCAGCGCATCAACTTCCCAGCAACTCGAAGCAGTGTCAAAATATCCCCAGGACGCCGCATTTTGCGTAGTCATGACGGGCTTCTCCAGTCCACAGATCACAGCTACCAGAAAGTCTTGAATAGTTCCTGCGCAGTCGTAACCACTCAAACTTTGAGGAGAATTCTGCTGGAGCCAGAAAATAGTAGCACATCCGAAACCAGAACTGACCCCGACGTGAGACTTGGACACTGGCAAAGTTCTCAGGAATTCCTCAGTGCATCGTCCGTCTTGCCAAGTGACCAAATTGCTCACTTTGGATTCCACCACAGAGTACTTTCCTTGATCGTAGCAACACGTGCCGTTTTTCGAGCTCCAAAAGACGACTCCGTGCATTTGGCCACTCACTCCCACGCTTTCCACGTTCCTTAGCTGAACTGCGGGCAGCCTGGCAATGCATCTTTGGACAGCATTCAAGATGAGTGTGACGCTTTGTTCGTCAAACAGCGGGTCCTTGTGCGGTACCTTGGCTCCTGTGGCTTCCACAGCTTCGCATTCGCAATGCTGGTTCTCCGAGTCCCAGATGACGGCTTTGACGGAAGTGGTTCCCAGGTCTAGACCCAAATGATGATTTTGAATCACATTTCTCGCGGGTTTCATGTTCTCGGAACGTCAGTGAGTCATTTTCCGCTTCACTTCACAATAAGCAGATGAGGCGAGAAAAAAAAAAGTATTCAACACGGCTATCTGCAACAGAGAAATTGACGACACTTGAGATCTCAAACAACCTACAACTCATGACATTTTCAAAGGAAAAAAATCCAGAAAGAGTCACACAAAACGCACAAAGGAAAAAACCTGGGGAACAAACACATGAACCTCGTGAGTTCAAAAACCCTCTCAACTCACCGCACTGAAACAATCAAACACACATGGTCACATCCAATCGAAAATAAAATTAAAAAAACGCGAAAACAAAAATGACAGTTTCCATCATGTGTATTTTGGAATTACAATATATCGACTTATAAATAAAAAGCAGGGGTCAAGTTGTGCGGTTTTTTGGACACTTGGAACGCCAGTCAATGAAATCCGTCTCTTCGAAATCCTCATCGTCTTCATCAGACTCCGGTTTTTCCTCATCGGGCTCAAACTTCACCATTGTGCCCACATTCAAGTCCTCTTTCTTCTTTTCCAACGCAATAACTCTGTTGAGAAAAACGAATTGTCTCCAGCATGAGGTTTCTTCCACTTCAATATTTCATCACAGTCAAACTTCAAGGGACCACAATAAAAAAAAATGGTGTCATGGAGATTTTGTGTCAGGAAAAAACGCATTCTTGTTTGGGAAAATCAAGAAAAATTTCAGATAATTGTAATTGATGATATTCTGGGCATTAAATTGGTTTTAAATGAGTTGACACAATGCAGAACTTGGAATAAGCAGTTCATTTGCCCAATTAATCTTTCACTTCTTTTCAGAACACAAGTTCGGTATCAACTGCTTTTTGGATTCCTGTGAAAATAAAATAACCAAAAGGTGTCCAGGAAATTCGAGTTATGGAGGTTTCAAGGGGAAAAGCCTTTGATTTCGCAAAGTTTTTAATGTATTTTTTCCCAAAGAATTCCGACAGCGACTTGATAGAAAAAAAAATTTGACGAAGGGAGCGTCAAGCTACAGAGGTTTAACTTGAAACATATTCCACTGGGCAGGAATTTTCCAGCAAAATGAGATTCGCAAAAAAGTTGGCAGGAGCACAGAACCCTTTTTTTCTTGTGGCACAAACCTAGACCAATGCCGAAGTTGTTCATCGATCTCTTCCAACTGTCGTTCACCGGCTTCGAATTCCTCGTCAGCTTCAACCAGGGCAGAACTTTCTGCAGACGCCTCTTGAATAGTTCTCTGGAATTTGGCAAATTCCTCATCCAACGGGTCCTTGTATTCCACGTGTCTCGCTTTCGCGTCTTTCTGCGGGTCGTCGAAGAAACCTTCGGGTATCAATTCCGCAGCTGTGGGTTTCTCTGGCTCCTTCTCCTCGGCTGATTCCATGCGAGTCGACTTGGGTAAAACTGCGACGGGTTCTTCAGCGTCGTCTTGCTTGGGTTTCGCGTCAAAAAAGTCCGACGGCACTTCTGAAATATATTAAATCAATAAAACATAAGAACGTATTCATCACTTCATCCAGATAAAAAAAATTTGAATCTCAATGACTCAAATTTTTTGGAGGCCTTTTGGCAACTATTTTGACAAAGGAAAGAGAGAAGCAATAAAAATGTAACTTGATGCGATTAAAAGGAGGTGAAAGACTAATTTTGCAAATGAACCCACACAATTCTTGTAATGCTCCTCGTTTTCCCCCAACAAAAATTCTTCTTTCCCCGACTCGAATCTTTAAAAGAGGTTCGACTGTAACAAGGTACAGATTCAAAATGCAAATAGTCACTTTATTGGATACTGTATAAACTTCACCTGAACTCCGTGAAGTTTGAGCGACACTCGATTCGGAAACTGAATCATCCTCCTCGGGTTTTTCAGGAGCGGCATTCTTGAGAATGCTTTTCACCGGTTCCACAATACAGGGCTTCTTCAAAATACCTTGGAATGAAAACAATCAAAAAATTAGATCCCCAATCGACAGAAAATTCTTGAAAAAAAGAAAACCCACCTCTCGCAGCAGGGATTTCTGCTGGCCGTTTGAAGCCGGCAACTACCTGGGATGGTAACTGTTTCGTTCTTTTCGCCTTTTCCAAGTTTTCTCTGTGAATCTTCCCATTGATGTGTGCGACCCAAAGAAGGTCATTCTTGATAGGCTGAGTGCAAATTATGCAACTCAACTGACCTGCACTGTTGTACGTGTTTTTTTAGTCACGTTAAGAATCAAACACAGAACAGAAGACATTTCACAGAAACTGATCTTTGAAAGTTTTGCAAATTCTAAACGCCAGTTTTCACTAGAAAGGAGCTCGAACCCGTGTCATGAGCACCAAATCCAACTTTAGGACCCGTGGAAAGTGGAGGGACGAAATTAGGACATGAAGCAACCCTTGACTTCAATATTCAACCCATGAAAAAATAACTGAAAAATGATGTCCTCACATAATTGAAAGCTACAAATCTTGTCAGTTTGTTTGAAATACTATGGGAAGAGATTATCTAAAAAGCGAATTTCTCCGCAGGAAGTTCTCGAACATGAGCAATTATTTTAAAATATGAAGAAGTTCTCTGTAAAATTCTAATTAAACTACGACACACTCAGGATATGAACGTCAGGAATACTTGGTGTTGCGGAGCTCATCAACTTTGAGTTATCGTTTCTCTGAGTTACGTCCACCGACGAAAAAAATAAAAGCAACTGAAAATTTTTACGAAGTCACGGATTAATACACTACAAATCACCCACGAGTTTACGTCAATTAATGACTGCTATGAGTGACAAGCAAAAATTTTGGGGAATCCCTCGCATCAAGTGAAACGACGTTTAGCACATTTTCGTAACACTTGGTTTGAAAAGGATATTTGGCCAACGGCGAATCGACCTTCTTGGGTGCGAGGCGGGTTTTCCGCACAGCGGAATTCATAGTTTCTTGATCACAGATTACTTCACCACTCGTTATCAAAAACCAAATCCTGGCCACATTCCACAGCACAGCAGAATAAAAAGCGTCCACGATTCGTACAACCACGCTTTGAAACCCTTCCAACGCTCGTACGATCACGTGATTCTCCGAAGAAAATTTGAAGGAAAAAACACGAACGCACCGACACTCGCGCCACACGTTCAATCCTTGAATGGAGAGAAAAAAGAAAAGAAAACGCGAAGTAACAAATCTGACGATGCCACATCAGCTGTAATACCTGCCTTAGGAGGCATGATATGAGAAGAGAATTACCGGTGGTTCTCACGAAGTCGCGCGACTAGTTCACACCCGAAATTTAACACGCAACCGTGACAAGTGATTCGTTCTGCCTCAAGTTAAGCCACTAGAATCGACATTTGCATCCCTCTTGCCTGAATTCCCAGGATGCCGTGCTTGTCGAGGAAAAGCTTCACGCCTTCAGCAACGACAGGTCTGTGTCCTCTGTCAAGTTACACGACATGAAGAACAATGCACTGCTGGTTTTCACTTTTGAATTTCAATACAATAATCAAAGTAACGACTCAGAAAACTGGACCAAACGGCTAGTGAATTTACCCCAATAGGGTACCACCGGAATCTGAGCGCATTTTCGGGAAAAGTTTACTAGCACAAGATTACATATCTTTTACGCCTACAGCTTCTTACACTGAAGGCGAGAGGATGTCTAGAATAGCAGAATTAAAATCATCCCTGGAACGAAAGATCCTTATCCTGGATGGGGCAATGGGTACAATGATTCAACGGAAGCAGCTCAAAGAAGAGGATTTCCGTGGTACGCAGTTCCAGGACACTCCGAAAAGCCTCAAAGGGAACAACGACGTTTTGTCGATAACGAGACCCGACATCGTGTACGATATCCATAAGGTGAGAATTTTTTATTATTCTTCGTAGTCCCGACACTGCATCGAGAATCCAGAACTGCACTTACTGGGCTTCCGAACTGAAATAAATTTCAATATTGGCCAGAAGTAATGCGCGAGACTTCCGTTCGCACTTATTACGTTTTAAATCACTTGAATGGCACACGTATCCCACCTTCGCCACTTTTTTCGAATTTCTGAAAGGAAACGAACTTATACTTCCCCTCACAACGTGGTAGCTGGTTTTGAATATCTCCAGCAATAAAACCAGTTATCGAAGAACTTGGTAATCCATTCACGGAGCTAGTGGTTCTGCCAGTCACGGCAGCGACATTCTTAGGATTTAATCCAGAATACCGAGCTTTTCTTCGGATCATCGTCAATCCGTTGAAAATAAGTAACTAATCATTCCATGGGTGTACTGACACTCGAACAAGATTTCAAATGAATGAGCCTTCGAACGAGTTCAGGCGGTACTGCTTGTTTCAGATTGACCCAGTGCCAATGGTAAACACGACGGAAGACATTTGTGTAGCTTGCAGCGCATGCTCAGGTGGTAGAGTTGAACAGCCGCCGCACAACCCGTGTCACATACGTCCGCGTGCTTTAGTACTGTACATGGACTTTCGTAGGCATCGATTAAACCGCTCGCCTTTTTTTTCCAGGAATACCTCCTAGCTGGAGCAGATCTCATAGAAACGAATACCTTCAGTGCGACTTGCATCGCTCAAAGCGACTACGAACTCCAAGGCTATAGCTACGACATCAACTTCTCAGCTGCGCAAGTCGCCAGACAAGCAGCCGCAGATGTCGCTGCTGAAACAGGATCCACCAGATGGGTCCTTGGCGCAATGGGTCCTACCAACCGAACTCTTTCTATATCCCCTAGTGTTGAGCACCCTGAATTCAGAAACATAAGTAGGTATTATTTTTCAATTTATATATATTTCTGGTACTAATAGCTTCATTTTCACAGCATTTGATGAACTTGTAGCAGCTTATGAAGAGCAAGCAAGAGGTTTGCTTGATGGAGGGGTTGATGCTCTTCTCATTGAAACCATCTTTGACACTGCCAATTCCAAAGCTGCGATATTTGCAGTGAAATCCTTATTTGAAAATGAAGACAACAGCTATCAACCCATTCCTATCTTTGTGAGTTTCGGCCATCTTTCAGTGATGATCAATTCAGTGTGTTTATTTTATTTGCATATCATTTAGATTTCTGGAACAATTGTGGACAAAAGTGGGAGGACATTATCTGGTCAAACAACTGAAGCTTTTGTGGTCTCCATTTCCCATTCTGATGCCTTGGGGTCAGTCAAAGACTGTTTTGAACGTTTTTCTGATTTTAAAAATGAATTTTATTGGTAGGGTGGGGTTAAACTGTGCACTTGGGGCTGCTGAAATGAGACCATTCATTGAAGCTGTTGGATCAGCTACCAGTGCTTACGTTATTTGTTATCCAAATGCAGGTGAGTTTTTTGCACATTTGAAGTTTGAGATTAGGATTAATGTTAAGTTTAAATTGCTGGTTCTATATACCCAAGGGCTGCCAAATGCGTTTGGAGAGTATGATGAAACACCCGAGCAAACTGCAGAAGTTTTGAGGTCTTTCGCCATGGATGGATTGATCAATATTGTCGGGGGCTGTTGTGGAACCACTCCTGCTCACATCAGGTGAAGTATCAACTGCATAATTCATTCAAAATTCCACCTGTCATTTTTTGTTTCCATCAATATGCACAGTGCTATCAAAAAGGCAGTTGAAGGTATTTCTCCCAGGATACCACCCAAAGAAATTTACCCTGGCCATTTGCTGGTCTCTGGGTTAGAGCTAACAAAAATTGGACCCACATCTATTTTTGTGAACATTGGGGAAAGATGCAATGTTGCAGGCTCAAAAAAGTTCTCCAGACTCATCAAAAGTTCAAAATACCAGGTGGGTTTCTTCATTGGTATGTTTTTTTTTCCTAACCATAACTAAACTCAGGGTACTGTATTTTTTTCAAAAGGATGCTTTGGAAGTTGCCAGAGCACAAGTTCAAAGTGGCGCACAAATCTTGGATGTTAACATGGATGAGGCTCTTTTGGATGGAAAATCTGCTATGACAAAGTTCTTGAACCTCCTGGGCTCTGAACCAGATGTAGCAAAGGTGAAAATAAGCCTTGCATTCCATGAAAAAAATTCTAAAATGCTGATGTTTTGTAAAGGTTCCACTGTGTATTGATTCTTCAAACTTTGCCATCCTGGAAGCTGGCCTCAAGGTGGCCCAAGGAAAGTGTCTCACCAACTCAATTTCTTTGAAAGAAGGGGAAGCTGACTTTTTGCAAAAGGCCAGGCTGATCAGGCGCTTTGGAGCTGCTGTAATTATCATGGCTTTTGATGAAGATGGGCAAGTGAGTTCTTGCATTCTTTCAAGGAAAAACATATCTTTGACATATTCTAATGTGAACATATAGGCTGCAGACTTTGAGTCCAAAGTGAGAATCTGCTCAAGAGCATTTAATTTGCTCACCACCAAGGCAGGATTCAAACCATGTGACATAGTCTTTGACCCAAACATCCTCACCATTGCCACTGGTATTGAAGAGCACAATAATTACGGAGTAGACTTCCTGTTATCTGTGAAGGAAATCAAGGTAAGTCTTCCCTGGGATTCAAATTCGCAAATGCTGAAATCTGTGACTTATACAAAAGTGGAACTTTTCTGTATAATCAAGTCATGGAAGAACAATTTATAGGCAGTGCCAAGCAGTAAACAGAAGCTGTTATAAAGATTTTTGGCTGTGATCATATGAATAAAGATGAGTGTAAGTCATGCAGTTGGCAAGTGAAATTATTGATTTATCAACCAACAGAGACAGTGTCCAGGGTGCAGAATCAGTGGAGGAGTGTCAAATGTGTCCTTTTCCTTCAGGGGCAATGATTTAGTCAGAGAGGCCATGCATTCTGTCTTTCTTTACCATGGAATCCAGGCAAGTATAGTATTTACTTTTTAGTCATCCTTGAAATATGTACATGTGTGAACTTGAATGAAAGTCATCATTCCTCTTATTCAGGCTGGACTGGACATGGGGATTGTGAATGCTGGAGCACTGCCAATTTATGATGAGATAGATCCTGTTCTCAGAGATCTTTGTGAGCAGGTAATTTTGAACAAGTCTCACAGGGCAACTGAGGAACTCTTGGACTTTGCTGAGAAGGTCAAAGACAAGTCTGGATGTGTCTCAGCAGCTGTGGTTGATGCTTGGAGAAATGAGTCTGCAGAACAGCGCTTGAGACATGCTTTAATCAAGGTAGTATTTTCTATATACTGTCTGATGTATTCCTCACAAAATGTTCTATGAAATCAATTTCATACATGTCATGTTTTTCAAGGGCATTGATTCATATGTGACTGATGATGTGGAAGAAGCAAGAGTGTCCAACAAGTACCCAAGACCACTGAACATAATAGAAGGTCCCCTCATGGATGGTATGAATGTGGTTGGGGAGTTGTTTGGAGCTGGAAAAATGTTCCTACCTCAAGTCATCAAATCTGCAAGGGTCATGAAAAAAGCTGTTGCACACCTAATTCCTTTCATGGAACAAGAAAGACTGGCCAACCTGTCTGCAGATGGTGGTGATGGGGATGATGAGGTATTATTATACTTGTCAATTTAATAAATGTTCATAGGGGACTGATTTTGCAAATTCCATTTTTCATTTATGTAGAATGACAGGTTCTCTGGTGTAGTTGTGATGGCCACTGTGAAGGGGGATGTTCATGACATAGGTAAAAACATAGTGGGAGTGGTGCTTGGGTGCAACAACTTCAAAGTTGTTGATCTTGGAGTCATGTGTCCTGCTGACAAGATCCTCAGTGCTGTAGTGAAAGAAAAGGCTGGTTAGTCCAGGATATTGTATTTTCTCAAGTACCACGTGCTCCTTTTTTCTCAAATTTGAAACAAAAATTCAAATTGCATTATATACTTGATTCTAATGAAAAATTTCAGATCTAATCTACAGTATAAGAAAATCTTATTTTATTGGAATCAATTCAAATTTAGTTGGATTTACATTGTGTTTGTGTCTGAATTAAAATTTGAGGTTTCTTAAACTTGAAATGCTGCGCTTTTAGAATCACTCAAAATGGGGTGCGCAACTTACTCAGGGATAGAATATTTCATCAAAATTTTGACTCAAAAACCCTGGTGTGCATTTTACTCAAGGGTGTGTGGTACTTGAGCAAAAGATAACCATGAGGTCCTTTCACTGTGCTTCTTATTTCTTCTCTATACAGACATTTTGGGACTCTCTGGATTGATTACCCCTTCATTGGATGAGATGGTTCATGTTGCCAAAGAGATGGAAAGACTGGGAATGAGCATACCTTTGTTGATTGGGGGAGCTACAACTTCCAGGGCTCACACTGCTGTTAGAATTGCCCCAAGGTACAAACATGGTCCTGTGGTGCATGTGAAAGATGCTTCCAAGAGTGTTGTAGTGGTTAGTCATGTTAATTACACTATCCTTATAATATTCCCATATTTTGAACTAGTCTCCTCCTTTTATGATTATGTGCTGTACTGTTACCATTTATAGTGTTCTACCTTAATGGATGCTGTGCTGAAAGAAGAGTTTATGGATGAAATCAAGGAAGACTATGATGATGTCAGAGAGGATCATTATGCTTCTTTGGATGAGATCAGGCTGATGAGTTTGTCTCAAGCCAGAACAAGGAAGACTAAGATTGACTGGAACCACTTCAAAGCCTGTGAGTATATACAATACAGCATAGTTTCTTTACATTTCCCAAGTCTATGCATAAACTAAATTTTACAAATTTCTTTTCAGGTGAGCCAAAGCTTATTGGAACAAAGATTTTTGCTGATTTTGACTTGTCAAAATTGACTTCTTACGTTGACTGGAAGCCATTCTTTGATGTGTGGCAGTTGAGAGGCAAATATCCCAACAGGAACTTCCCCAGGGTTTTTAATGACCCCACTGTTGGTAAATGGCGCTATAAAATCATTGTGCTGAGGTATGTTTTCTAAAGGTATGGATGATTATTAATTGCACAGGAAAAGAAGCAAAAAGGTTGTTTGAAGAAGCTCAGAAGTTGTTGAAGAGAATGATTGATGAGAAGCTTGTGGAGGCAAGAGCTGTGGTTGGTGTATTTCCTGCCAACTCTGTTGGAGATGACATCTGGGTGTACCAGGAAGATGTTTGGCCCAGAGGTGAGCCCATAGGAAAGTTTCATTGCCTCAGGCAACAGGTGGGTTCATTTCAATCAAAATTATAGTTTGCATAATTTTTAGAAAAAATAAATCTTGCAGGCAGAGAAGGACATTAGTGGAGCAGAGGAACCTTATGCATGTTTGGCAGATTTCATTGCCCCACTGGACTCAGGCAAGAGTGACTTCATTGGAGGCTTTGCAGTCAGTGCTGGCTTTGGGGTGGATGCACTTGTTGAGGAGTATGTATAATCTTCAAAAGCCCATGTTAAATGTTCAGTTGTTACATCACAATTTGCCCATTGTGCAATTTGATGGTGAAATGTGCTGGGAAGTTGACTTGCAATTCAACCTATGCCACACAATTTGACCTTCAGAGAGATGCAAAATGTCAAATTCTATGTAGAAAACATTGCATTTGGAATTGTCTCTCTATGTGACTACTTCATAATTTGACCCTAGCCCAGCAGCAGGATAAGCTAGGGTCAAATTGTGGGGTACTGCATGTATCATATTTACTGGAGTACCGCATAACCTCAATTGAGAGGTGCACCACAGGTTTTCAGTGCAATGTCTCTTGAAACAAAATTCTATCCCCCAGTAAAATGTGGACCCCATTTTTAGTGACTCTAAAACTGCAAGGTTGGAAAAATAAGTGACCCACTTTTTGATTCAGACAGGATTTGGTCCTGAATTCAACTTATTTTCAATTACCTCAATATTACAGTATGTTTTTTCTTTTGGAATTGATCCACAATTTTCATCATTAAATCAAATATAATGCTCAATTAAATTTCTAAAACTTCTAAAAAATGTATACCCCATCATCTGTACAATGTGATCACCCCCTTTTTCCCTCTAAGTTTTGAGAAAAAAGGTTTGCATGGTACTCAAGTAAACACTGTCAACTTCTCATATTTTTAGAGTGGTTTGTTCATTGTATCTGATGTGTTTGGGGTTTTGTTTTAGGTTCACTGTGGGCAATGATGACTACAGCATCATCATGGTGAAAGCCTTGGCAGATAGGTTAGCAGAAGCCATGGCTGAAGAGCTTCATGCTCAGGTCAGGAAGGATCTTTGGGGGTATGCCCCTGAGGAGCACTTGACCTTGGAGGACATGCTGAAAACCAAGTATCAGGTGACTGTTGCACCAATGCTAATGATCAATTAGGCCTTGGCTTATGAGCAATCCTGCTGACAAACTTGAAATTTTTCAATTGAGAGTTTTGCACTGGATTTTAAAAGGGGGTTCCAATTGGCAAGCAATTTTGGGGGAAACAACTAACTTGAAATTTCTTAAAATAAAGGACTACACAGTTTCAATTCAGCTTACAAATATCCCAACTGAAACAATACATGATGTGGTGATTCACTGATCGGAGGAATCTTCACCAAAAAGTCCTTTCTATTATTGGCATTGAAATATATTTTTGCTATGAATGCATATATTAAAAAAAGTTAAGTTTTTGGAAATGTGGCATATTTTGTGCAATGCCAATTCATCATGTCTCTGCATAATTTTAGCATTCCATGATTTCTTACACTTCATGGTATTTGATATTGCACAATAATAATTGATGAAGATCATGTGTTTCCTATGGTTTCCTGAGCATAAAAAATATCCGTCATATTTCTGACATACTTTCTTGCACCACAATAATATCTTCTAACTTTCCAACACACGATTTAAAAGGCAGTGCAGTAATTTTGCCAAAAAGGTATGGAATCCAAATTGTAAAATCAGCATAAGTGTTTCTGATTAATTTTCTTAAACATGGATTTCACAACATTTTGATGAGTTATTGAAACCATTTTATTTTATATAGGGAATCAGGCCTGCCCCAGGGTATCCAACACAGCCAGACCACTCAGAAAAGCTGAATCTGTGGAAACTGCTGGGAGCAGAAAATGTGGGCATCACCTTGACAGAGTCTTTGGCCATGGATCCTGCAGCATCAGTTTGTGCACTTTTATTTGCACATCCCCAAGCCAGCTACTTTAGTCTTGGCAAAGTTGGCAAAGATCAAGTCATAGACTATGCTCACAGGAAATGCATGAGCTTGGAAGGAGTTGAAAAATGGCTTCGCCCTTGTTTGTCTTATGACCTGGAAGAAGACTGAATGAATTTCTTTTTGTTTTTCTGCATGTGAGCCTTATATTCTGTCTGGAAAAATGAAGAACTATCTTGGGCGAAAATAAGCCACATGACAAACAGCCCTGGGATTTTCTCACTCTGTCTGGAATGTTTACTGAGTCTTATCTCAAGTTCTTATTCCTGGCCTCTGTCCAATGTTCCCACATCTGATCAACACCTATTTCTCATCACTATGATATTCAAGGATGTTTCTTACAAAGAAAGATGGTGGGGCAGAGAAGAAAGTGTCTAAAGCTGAGATTTGAAGCATGGTGTCTCTTTGCTACTGTTCTGACAGTGATCTTGGCCTTTTTACAAATCATCTCTCTGCTATTGAAAGATCTTCAGAGAAACCCACAACAATTATTTGTGAGTTCTAATCATACATAATTGTCAAATCCAGCAATAAATATGTTTTAAACATTCAATTATTTGCATGGAATTAATGGAAGGATGCTGAGACATTTTTTGGGTCACCCAAATTGCTGATGAATGACTCAAAATTGATAATGCACTTGAGGGAGAAGGTGATGGTCAAGCCATCACTGTTGGAATACAATCTTAGTTACCCTGGGTATGAGGATCTTTCTGATGCAAGAAAACACACCAGCTTGATCCTAGTTCCCAAGTATTTCCCCAAGGTTTGTGTAATTTTATTACTTCAAAAATATTTTTCTGTTGTTTATGCTGTGGATAAAATACAAGAGACAAACTCATCAAAGGTCTCATATTCTGAAATTAGAAAAGGAATGGGGTTTTTATTGAAGCTGGAGCCCTGGATGGGGAATGGCTTTCAACTACACTCTATTTGGAAAGATACCTTTCATGGACAGGGATTTTGGCAGAAATGACACCAATGAATGTTGAGAAACTGCTGCTGAGACAAAGAAAAAGTTGGATTGCTCCAGTTTGTCTTTCACCAGAACGTTTCCCAGTCAAGGTAATTGTCATTTCTACCTCATATGTTCCTGCACACATTGGGTTTTGCACATTTTAGAAAATTGCACAAAAATTTTTTCATCCAGGAAGTGACTCCCAGAAAAAATTTGTTGTCCCAAAAATACAGCAGTTCAACATTCTTAATGCATAAAATTCATGGATTTTTCTAGCCTACTTGCAGTACTTGCCAATGCTGGCAAATGAAGCTTGTATTTCATCAAGGTTTGACCTGAAGTAGTTTTCAAAGGCAATGCAAACTTGTTGAAACAGTGAGACAAGGTGAACTTGTATCATTTACTATTGCAAATTCCAGAAAAGTGTCAGTCAAGGATTATGTGCTCAGAAACAGCAGTGGAAAAATATATAGAATGGATTGTTTGCATGCTATTGATGGTTGATTATGCATTTTTCCATTTTATAACTACTCAAAACTCATTTTGGACAGGGTTAGGTTTCCTCATATCACATACTATATTTATATAGTACGTATATATATTATATATATATATATATATATATATATATATATATATTTATATATATGTGTGTGTGTGTGTGTGTGTGTGTGAAGTTGAATAAGAAAAAACCTTCCCCAGAGGCGCATGTTCATGCAGTACATTCCTGGCAATCTAACCAGCACCTGGGGGGCATCTGTGGTGACTAAAATCAAAGAGCTCAGGAAAGATACCAGAGTGAAGACCTTTGAAGCTGAAGTCTCATGTTTCCCATTGTACTCTCTCATGCTGGCTGCAAACTTCACCAAAATTGACCTCCTGAGTTTGGATGTTGAAGGAGCTGAACTGAGTGTCCTGAAGACTATTCCTTGGGAACTTGTTACCATCCAAGTAAGCCCATATATTTACAGCCTCAAATATATACAGTGGACCCTCAGTTAACAAACTTAATTGATTTCATCAGACAGAAGTTTGTTTAACAAATTTGATTTTTCTGTAGACTTCAGTGGAGAACAAATTCATCTGTCCCTGGCACCCAAAATACAATTGCAAATTCAATTTAAAAACATTCAGGGCAAATAATTTTGGTTTGTTAACCAAGCAATTTTTCTTTGAGGACAAAACTTTGTTATCCCAAAAGTTTGTTAACCAGCAAGGGTCCAATTTATAAGAAAAACATTATACAGGTGGTACCTTGCAATTCAACCTCCCAAAATTCAACCATCCTGCAATTTGATGGTCAAATTTGCAGTTGACGGTCAAATTTGCAGTTGACGGTCAAATTTGCAGTTGACGGTCAAATTTGCAATTGACAGTCAAATTTTCAGTTGACAGTCAAATTTGCAGTTGATGGTCAAATTTGCAGTTGACGGTCAAATTTGCAGTTGACGGTCAAATTTGCAGTTGACGGTCAAATTTGCAGTTGACGGTAAATTTGCAGTTGATGGTAAATTTGCAGTTGATGGTCAAATTTGCAGTTGATGGTCAAATTTGCAGTTGACGTTCAAACTTGCAGTTGACGGTCAAATTTGCAGGGAGGTTGATTTGCAGTAAGAGCCTTGCCCCACAATTTGACCTGCTTTGACCTCTTTTTTGCCTCTTTGTACAGCACTGTTATCTTTGAATTTCATGAAGCATCTTGTAATTTGACCACCTTGAAATTCAACCCTATAGTTTAGCAATAGATTAGGGTCAAATTGCAAGGTGCCACCTGTCTTTAAAGTTTGGGAGACCTATATATATTCCTTGGATTCAAAAAAAGGTGATCCTGATTGACCTGGTGACATCTGAATCTTTGAGGATCTCCACCTTCAAGTATCTTGAGTCAAAAGGCTACAGGCATTCTGGAGACCCTGATGAGCCCAATGACTCCCTAGTGTTCCTGCATCAAGACTACAGACCACTCTAATATTAAAAAAAAAAGTATTGCTCAAGAAATGAAAAAAAAAATATTTCCCAAGAAAAAAAGGACAAGAAAAGTTTTGTTTCCACACTCATCCAAACTGTCCCTAAATGTCCAAACACTATCATCACTAAGCACATGGTAATCCTGATATGACACCCATTCAATCCCCAATAAAAGAAAAACAAGCCTTTTCAACATGTAAAAAGCCAATTCCCCCACACACCCCAGCAGGATATGAACACTATGACATACATATGAGACACTTGAGTGGCATCTGAGTGCAAAGTATACAACAACATTGGTAACTGTTGCCTTAGGAGTTATATGGACTCAGCCCAGGTGCAACCAGTGACTCAAGACACTTTGTTCCAGAGAAAGCAAAAAGGTGATGATGATGAAGGCTAATTCAAACTGGCCCAGATCCTTTTCATTTAAAAAAAAGGGGGAGTGTTTTGATCAAGCCAGGATTGGCTGCCATCTTTGTCCCCTATTTGTAGGTGTTCTTTTTTTTCCAAAGGAGAAAAAGTTATCCCAGCAACAATAACAGGATAAAAGATGGCCTCCTAATTCTGCTTATATAAAAAGCTCCCCTTTTCTGCTGTGCACTGGGCCAACATATAGCAGCAGTCAACTTTTTTTCTTCTCTGAAGCCCACTTTTTCTGGGCCTGGGTTTTTGTCATCAGAGATGCCACACATCGGAAGACCAATCATGGTATTAAATAATTGCGCATTTTTTGCCTTATTTTTTAGTTGGGAGCAGCATCACAGCTGCCCTGGGATATAGAAAAATACTGCACACTCACACATACCACTCCTTCACATCCTTGGAGCTCTTGACTCTCCCTGGCCTCAGGGCCTCACCTTGGCTAAAGAACCCATCATTCCCTGGAGGTTCATATCTTCTGCTGGCTGCCAAGTCTTCGTCATCTGTCAGCACCTTGCCAAACACCACCTCAGTCCGGGACTTCATACATGATAGAAAAAAAAACTCCATGTAAAAAGCAATATATATAATATTCAGGAAGAAAGCATAGGTTGATTATTGAGGGTTCTTCAAGCTCATCCAACACCTCACATTTTCTGGCAGCCTCTTATTTTTTGCACCTTCTTGCAAACAAATCAGTTTTTAAACACAATTAAATATTGAGGCAAGTTATTCATTAAAAAATACCAAATTTATCAGGAGGAAAAATTGCCTATTGGAAATGAGAGAGATAAATAAAAAAAAATTGCATGGTAGAGAAGCATAGCAAGCAATTATCTGTAATTTTTAAAGATACATTGCTGATTAACTGGGATTTGTGCAAAATGAACACCTTATATTTCATACTTGAACATTTTCAGCACAAAAAAATTCATACATGACTCGGATACCATTCTCATCATCTTCTACTTTTCCTGCATGGGAAAGTGTAGGAAATTCTTCTTCACTGTTAGGTATTCTCTGTTGAAATATGTCAGATGATGAGAATGTTGCCTGAATTTTAAAGCTGGGCATACACATTCTTTAATTCCATGCTCATAATATTGGGGTTCATCAGGATTATGTACAGCATGAATCATAATACTGTACACTATTGAGCATAATTCAAAATCATTTGTTGAAAAATTGTTTGAAGATCAATTGAAAAAAAACTGAGTGAATTTTGTCATGAATTGAGTTCAATTAATATATAACCTGCATGTTTGAGGACAAATCTATAATTTAAACCAAGATTGAATTATATACACAATGTCAGCAGCACATAATTCATATTGAAGAGAGAATGCTGTGGGTTCAATCAATGATAAAAATGATCTCAATTGCATACAATACACTATAATGTGGCATAAATGGTGTATATACCTTGAACTTGAGCACCAGCAGGATGACCAATATGATAGCAATCAACACAGCAGCCACACACCCAATGACCAAAGCAGTGCTTTCAGCCTCATCAGACCGGATTTTGGTGTCTGGAGGCACCACTGCACCACCTCCAGCACCACCTCTGGAGTTCCAAGCTGGCCCAGCCCTGTCATCATACCTCCTGCCTCCCCTAAAGTCCACATCATCCAATCCTTCTTCTTCTTCTTCCTCTTCCTCATGTCTGGGTCTTCCATGCTCATAAAATGACCTGGGGGAAGCTGGTGGCAAAGGGGGGAAAAAGGGCAACTGGGCTCTAGTAGTGGGTAGTGTAGGCTTAGGGGTTGTGGTGGTGGTTGTGGTTGTGGTGGTGGTTGTGGTAGTTGTGGTTGTTGTGCTAGCTGTGGAACTTGTGGTTGTTGGGCTGGGTGATGTGGCATTATTGTGGTGGAAGCCAAACAATGACTGAGTAGTCCTGTCCTTCATCCCAAAGTCTTGATCTTCAGCTGTTGATGAAAAGCCCCAAATCAGTCACTATATATGTAAATAAACACTAGAGTTAACATTTGAAGTTTTCAGATCTGTTAATTCTCATTGACATGCTGTATTTACATGAAATATTTTTGATTTAGTTTTAACTTTGTATATGAAGCCTAATAATGATGTTTAATTTATACTTAATTATAGCCATACAACTTTGATGCAAACCAGACATTTTAAACATTTAAACTGTGCCTATTCTCACTTTGTTGTTCAATGAATAATGAATCATGAATTACTTATGAAATTAGTTCATAATTTGATACAAACTCCTCCAAACTAGTTTTAAAGTAATATAAAAACAGTAATTTTGAAGAAAAAATTTAAAAGTATTTTTCATTCCAAGTAAACAGACCTAACTAACTTACTTATTTACTAACTTAACTGACTAAATTTCTTACATACTGTACTGTACTAACTCAAGTAACTAACTTACCTAACTAGCTCACCTAACTAACTTACCTAACTAACTTACCTAACTAACTTACCTAACTAACTTACCTAACTAACTTACCTAACCAACTTACCTATAGCTAACTTACTTAACTAACATATGCTTGATTACTAACTTATCTAACTTACTCACTTACTGAACCACTAACTACACTTGATAACTAACTAACTTATAACTTACTCAGCATGTCAGCAACTAACCAACTCAATAACTAACGTAACTGTTGTTAGTTAACTTGCTTGATTTTTAACTTAATAAAATTGCAATACCTTAATTGAAAAATTAAGCAAAGGGTAACAGTTTTGAAATTCTTAAAAGGAATTTTCTCTCCCATTTTACATTTAGGGGCATTAATTCAAAATATCAATAGTATACTTACCCTTTTTGGTAGGACTGCCAGCATTGGATGTAGTGAATAAAGGGACAATGGCCTCAAAGGTCAAGGCATTTCTGGACCAGTCATCAACTCCTGACCCTTCTTCACAGTCCACATCCTCATCATCACTGTTGCAGGGCACTGATGATTTTTCTTTGTGCGTGGGACGTTGTGCAAATTTGTTGTGGTCCCTTCCTGGTTGCTGGTGGAACCCTCCCCAGGTGCCTGGGGTCGGTGTTGTTGCTGGGGACTTGGTTGGTGGAGGAACATAGACTGGAGTCACCAGATCATCTCCTATAATGGATAAACATTATTGGAATGTCATTATATGCAGGGAAATGTTTTCATCAGGGCACCTGTCCTGATGTGCATCTTGATGCTGGGTCAATTGAAAGTTATAAGATTCACTTTGATATTTGCAGGTTTCAATTCAGCAAACCTCTTTGAAATACATCAGCCAGACACTTCGTCTCTGCATCAAGATTCAAGGTTTATATATAACATATATAGAAAGTCCAGAATCAACTGATTCACACATGAAAAATAATTTCAAGTGTGTTTCAAAACTAACTCACATGAGAAATTACAGACTCTGCACAAAGGTTCTTTATAATGAAAAAGTCTTTGATTTGTTTTAGGACATGGATTAAGAACAAACATATTTCTTCAGATTCCACTCAAAAATAGGATGAAATTCCATTTCATAAAGTTGAACAGGCTTTTTTGAAAGAGGTTCAAATATCAATAATAAGTAAAAAAAAATAATTGTTAGCAGAAAAATTGGTAGTATAGTGCAGTTTAAATGAGAATACATGGGTTGTCCCAGTTGGATGCGACCTCTGATATTTTAAACAGTTCTTGACATTGTAGAAAACCAAAACCAAGACACTATTCTATATCCCATGATGTTCAAATATTCTAGGATTTTCTTTGGATTTTAAAAACCTTTTTTCCATTTACTGCATCATCATGAGTGAAAACTTTCCAGTTATAACCAGATTAATCCACCCATGTAACAATTGGCTGGTAAAAAATTTGTTTCAGGCTATCCTTGAAAAAATTGATTTTGTTTTGTTCTTTTAACCATTATATAAAATGCAGAAAAGATTGCTGGTATAATACAAAAGTTCTTATTCTTTGAGCTGTCCTGACAAGTTTTTAGCACCATGTGACACATAAGTGGAGAACTCTGGCTGTAACTAGAAAGTTTACCCGTATCATCAGACGTGCAGCAATTTGAATTTTTTTCCATTCAAAGAAAATGCCAAAATTTTAAAATATGAAATAATTCTGTGACATAATTATTTTTTAATAATCACACCTAATGTTAAAATCATCATGAGTCACGTCCAAAACTGGGACAACCCAATATTAGAAAGATGTGCAAAAAAAAAAAAAAAGGTTGTGGGCGCTCAATTGAGCAGCGCTCTTTTGACCCCGCGCGCGTTTCTTCTCACCTGAGCCATGTTCAATCGGATACCGGCATAATTCACTGTCTAAATCCGAGTCACATCCGGATCCCTCGGAATAAATCAAGTCGTCAGTTGTCGGCAAATCACTCGGAGGACTCTGAAAATTTAAAAAATATTTATTTAAAAAAATTAGGGCGAAACACAAGATATTTTGGCACACACCTTTTGCATTCTTTCGTGCAAAAACGGATACTTGACTCTGCCCTTGAGCTTCTTCTTCTTCTTCCTGTGGCCTGGTTGTTTGCCGAGTTGCTGGTCCTGATCCTCCGTGTGCATCAAGAGCTGGACATCTCCCTTGACACTCACCCGAGGATCCCCCTCGGCAGCCAGGCCAAAGATCCTCTCTCGGTTGACAGTCAGGCCAGTGAGGATCCCCTCAAAGGGCCCCTCTATGGCCTTGTTGTCCACCCAGCGGCCACCGACTTGCACTTTGGACAACCTGTTCATCATGTCATCCTGGGGTCCTGTTTTTCACACACACAAAAAATTCATGAAATTATAAATCATATATATTCATTTTTGACTAAAGTTGAACCTCCTAAAAAAATAAGCGAAGAGATTTTTATAATTTGAATTTTCTAGAGCTCTTTTGGCTGTTATTTTATTGACAAAGAAAAGAGAAAAGCAATCAAAATGTAATTTTATGACCTTTGAAAGGAAATGAAGGAATAATTGGGCAAATAATGAACCCTTGCACACAATTTCAGCATCTTGTGAAATCATCTATACTGAGAGCCAAAATATCACAAAAAAAATTCCCTGTGATTATTTTCTCATTCCTCCAACAAAAATACTAGTTTCTCCAACTGGAAACCTCCCATGTTTGAGAGTATCTGTATCTGAGAGAATTTGAGGTATATATTCTTTTGAATTTATTGTAGACTTTCAGAGAGCTGAGGGCATCTTTTATATTTGTACAGTACTTTTTTGCACAATGACAACTTCTGAAAAAATGTATAAAGACCAATTCAGTTGTGTATATATTTGCATGCTTTTGAGAGTTGGCAAGACTTTTGCATCAAAATACATATAAAAAGCTTACTTCAACTTTTTAGTACGGTAATTTTTAAAATACAGAAAATAAGCAAAAAGGGACACAGTTCTGGTGGTGTTGCAACATATGTTTTAGAAATTGATGGGTGGACCTCACAAGGAATTTTAATTCACTCAAATATTCTTTGGGTCATGTTTTCTCATTTACTAGGTGAAACGTTTTCGATAGGTAATATATACAGGCAACCAGGTTTAGCAAACAGATTAGATCAAACATTTGGATGAGTGGGTGTATGCATACATGTTGGATGTCTAGTTTTATTTTGCAGAGTGTGTTCTCCCATTTGTTGTTGTCATTGGTTTGTCCTTTGTTTCATGCTTAAAAGTGATTGAATGTCTTTGGGTGGATGAGTTGAGTTGGGTTGGGTGGGGAGGGGGTTTGGATGCGGGAATCTTGGTTGTGCCTTGTGAACGCTGAAAAGCGGCAAATAAAGTGTTCTGTTCATTCATTCATTCATTCATTCAGAATATTAAATTTAAAATCCTCTATGCAGAAGTGAAAAAGTTCTCACAGAAATAAACGTTTTGAAACTTTTAATCAGAGATTGAGAAAATGACATTCAAGATTTTTTTCTATTGAATTTTTGGTGAATTATGATTTGATGCCAATAAACAATAAATCATTCCATTCAGAAGCGATTTGCTATATTAATATCACAATTATCAATTCTCTTGAAAATTCACTGGAATTTATTTAAAAATAAGAAGAGAAAAGTTCTTATATACATATTGGTAACCCTTTATATGTAAGCTTACCAATCTATCATCAACAATAAAGCATTTATTTAAATGGAATAGTGTACTGAAAAGGTAACTAAATTGGATTATGAAACAGCCTTGACAATGTTCCCTGAAAAAAGGTTTCCAATTAATTGTTCACCTGTCGGGTTTTTCTGAAGAATCGGTCTGTCGTCAACTTGAAAAGTGGCGTTTTTCCCGCTTCTGGTAACCCTGATGACGTGGTACTTGTTGTCATTGACTTTGGAATAAACATCGTCCAGAAAGTGAACATGTCCCCCAGTACTATATGACAACTGCATTCTTCCTCCAACCTGGAAATAACATGAAAGGAATTTTTCAAATAATTGAAAAAATATTTAAATACATGATTCAAAAATATTTGGTGGTATTCGTGAATTGCAAAATTCATGGGCTAAATAAACTACATAAACAAAATGGGTTAAAAAAGTTCCAAAGATTGATATCACATATTATACTTATACTCATCAGCTAAATAAATTAAGTTATAATGTACAAATTTATCAGCAGCCAAAGTATTTCTGAATTTTCAAAGTTATAAGTTTTTGTTCCAACTATTTTTAATTTCAAATAGGCCCCACTTACAGAATATCAAATTACTGTATCAGCATGATTGGTGTTAATGTCAACATAATTGGATCATCACAAAACAAAGGTAAACTCTTCTTTCAAAATAAAATATCTGATAAGTTTGATTATATACAGAGTAGCTTCAAATTAAATCAAAATTTAAAAGGAAATTAGTACTTATAAAAGTGAGGGTAATAATAACTAAAAACATTCAGTCACTTATAGTCATATATATGAACACATGCAAAAATCTGAAGTGAACATACTACTGTACTTGAACAGGTGGAGTATAATTTAATAATTTAAAAAGCATGTTCTCATACCAACACCCAAAATTTCATTCTCTCTCTCTCTCTCTTCACCTCTCAAATACATTCAATTCAAAATCTTGACAAATTTCTCACCAGCCGCAATTGAATAAAGTCCCTGCTCTCAGAACTGTCAACCCTGACCACATATGCCTCAATTTGAGAAGTGCTGATGCCAAAGGCAATCCTGTCTTCTTTGGTGTCTGGTCTCAGGCCAGGAGGGTACAGGAAAAACAGCATCCCATGTTCCGGCCCAAACATGTAAGAGACGCCTTCTTCTGTGCAAGTGGCGCCGGTGTAGGAGGTCATGTCGCAGTCGCAGGAAAAACCAGTCCACTCCTGACTGCAAACCCCGCGGTGGGAACAGGATGATGCTGTGCAATGCGATTTTTCAGCTGATGGGAATATCACCAAAAAAAAGAAGGTATTTAAGAATTATAACAATAATGCTTTCCCTTTTTATACTTTCTTGCAAATGTCTTTTCTTATTTAAATAGGCAAGGCAAAATTCTGAATATGAACAGCAGTGGGCTTCATTAGAAGCCCTTCAATAAATTTGTCAAATTTTCTTTAATTGACAAAGGTTTGTTCCAAATAAGAAGAAAAAGCACTCGTGTATAACAAAACAGAATTTTGGCAACAAAAATTTCTCTGGAATTGATCAAGATCATCAACCAAAAGTATAAGTATTCACAATAAGCACTGCAACACATTCTATTGATGGAAAGGCAATTCCAGAGAGAGGAAATATAACTTGAAATATCTTGATTCTCTAAACGTTAAAGTAACTATCCAACTAGATGCTTGATTGTTATCCTATAGCAAAATTGTCCTGCAATTACACTGACCAATACAGACTTCATTTTTATACAGATAAAATTTGTTCTAATGCTACTGGTTTCAAAAGATTTCACACTCCAGCAGTATAGTTATAAAATCACAGAATGAAACATTTTTGAGAGCACTAAATACTGTGCAGACCATTTGACAATGCTTCACTTGCGTTTTCTCAACAGAAAATAGTTCTCATTCAAGATTCTCAAACAGTATAAGCTATAAGAAAAAATAGATTATTCACTCAATTCCAATATTGTAGTTCCATTAGAAAATGTCAAGAGGATAAAAAATAAGAGTTTTGTAATTTAGGAAAATAATAATGGGAGCATACAACCAGCAGCACAAGTAACCAAGTAAGTTCACAATGAGTCAAACTTGGTTAAATTTACATCACATATATACTCATAATTTGACCAAATCTGACAGCTTTGATATATTGTAAGTAGAGGGAAGCATGGAAACCATATAAACAGCTGTGTATACTAACCCCTGCACCCTTCCTCAACAGTAGCCCTGGCAACAGAGATGGCAGCATCCTTGATGGGCCTCACAGGCTTGCCATTGATGCTCACAGAGGCCAGACAGCCTCTGAACCCATGTCTGGCCCTGATGCCATCAGGCAGGTCTCCAAAGAAATGAGTGCCACCCAAATACAACAGGTCCAGAAAGTCCCACTCATCACCAGCACCAGAAGTAGCAGTGGCCAAAACATCATCCACCATTAGGAAGTGTCTTGTTGCAGCTGGCCTGGAAATGGTGATTGAGTGCCACTTGGAGTCTGCCACACCTGCAAAAAAAGTTAAAGTGGATACTCAAACTAAAATAACTTGGTTTGTTCCAAGGCCAGTCTTACATTTTCATTTGTTTGTTGTTTTGGGTATCCTTAACATATTTTAACACATTTGAATTGTTTTGCCATCAAGCCTATTGCAATCTTTTTAACATTGTTTTAAGGTGTATATGAGTACAGTAAACTGAAGACATTCTTAAATACAGTAGCAAATATAAAATGTGTGTGCTTTTAAAGTTTTTATTCAATTGTTGATGCATGATCAAGTTCTCACTTGTGATAAATTTCTTAGACAATTTTTGTGAGAAGTTGTGAGTGTTTACTTTCAATTTGAGTCATATTTTGCAACAAATGTGACTTTTTAATTGAACTTTTGACATCACTATAACATGAATAGCATCTCATTTTTATTATTTTTCACAGCAAGCTTACCTGAAGACCCAGGTGACCCAGTGTCAACCCTGAGTCTCACTGGACCAGAACCCAGGTTGAATGCATACACCACATGTCCATCAACCAGTTCCACAGCAAAGAAGTCTCCATCTTTTCCAGCATTGTAGAGGACTAAGCCATCTGGCTCAGCTGTCTTTATCTGTTCACAATACATAACCATAAATGCTATACAATGCCTCATTTGCTTTATACAGTTTTTCTAAAGGGTCAGTATAAGTCAGCAATGAAAATTGATGGTTACAGTCCACAGGAAGGTTTATGGTGGTTAACTTCTAATATGTTTGCTTCCTTAATTTGAAAAGGTCCCGAAATCACAGTGATTATATATACGGTACTGCTGTCACAGAACATCATTAAATGCTTTGAAAAGAATTGTACCTACTCTGAAAGAGGAGATTTCAAGTTCATAAAAGGAAAAAATATGTGTTTTTCATCATCAGCAGTAGCTTGTAATTTTTTTCTCTTGTACAGAATTTCAGCAAAAAATGAGGAAAAATTGAAAGAAACTATTCCATTTGTCCAAGTATAATTCAGAAAGTTTACAGAATAAAAATGAATTCTCTGAAAAAAATTTTCAAGATATGATTCTCCTTATTATTGGTTATGTGTCTCATCTTGTGGAATGCATTCATCAGGACACATTTTCAGGTTGATTCATTCAGGATACATTCAGCCTAACATTGTTTCCTAGTTCATCTTAAAACTGACCTGAAAGAAAATGCTGAAACCATTGTAAGCAATGAGCTGCTTGAGTCCAATGAATGTGTGCTTTGTCTTGAAAGTGACAGCGTTTTGCACAATGTGGTCTTCATGTCCAAAGGACCCAGTTCTCTCATAGAAAACTGCCCCAGGGACAGAGGCCCCAGTTTTGGCCTGTTCCAGAAGGGCTCTGTTGTTGAACAACAGGCTCTGCAAAGTGCCCACAAACCCTGAGACAGCTGATGATGAGTCACTGCTGGATTCTGCTGCTGGGTCTGATCCAATGTGCAATGTTTCATACTTGAGACTCACATCCTCTCCATCAAGTTCACCTTATTGAAGAGAAAATTGCAGCCAATTCAATAATAATACCTTGAATTATCTTTCATGTTCCAAATAACTCACCTGACACTTCTGGGTCTTTGTCCAATTGCAGTTTTATGAGTCTGCCTCTTCTTGAATATTTGAAGGAGTGCCAACGGTTGTTATTCAGTCCTTGACCTGCATACATCACCTGTATAAACACACAAGATATATTAGAAGACAAAAACAGCCATTCTTTATTTATTGAAATGGTTTAATACACAGTGAACCATTGTTCAACAAACTTTTGGTTTCCAGGAAAAATCCCACGGTTAACCATCAAAAATTGGTTGAATAACTTTTTCTCTGGGGAAAATTCCAAAGTTGGAAAAATCAAAATTTGATTTTGAGGTTGAAATTTATGGTACAAGGTAATTCATGTAATCTTGTGGTTTAAAATGCATTCAGCTGCATCATTCACATGCTTTTATGTAACATCATTTTTTTGCTTTTCTGTGATTGGTTTTTCTATTTCTTCATTTGTTAGTTATCTTAAAGTTATCTGAATGTGAAAGTTTTTATCTTTGTTTTCATTGGCGTTACTTCCATATATGAAACTGTAAACACATTTTTGGCAAATAGAAGATGCAGCAACCACTTAATGTGATTATAGTTGATGGTCTAGAATTATCTAAATTCAATGTTCAATTGTTTTTTTTTGAGCGACACGGAATGGATTAGATTCTTCCCCATTCAACTCCATGGGAAAACCAAATTCTGTTAGCAAACTTTTGTCTGGAACCAATTAAGTTTGTTAACCAAGGGTCCACAGTACTTAGATTATGCATATAATGAATGAATGAACAAAACACGTTATTTGCTGCTTTTCAGCGTTCACAAGGCACAACCAAGTTTTTATGCATATAAAGACACTGAGTTGGGAATGTGAGTCAAATAAGACCAAATATCTCCCACACATGATTAATACAAGTGGAAATACTGTCTGTCACCTTTTCTTGAAGGCCAAGTTTGTTATAGAGTCTCAGACTGCCTCCAACAATGGCCAGCTCAAGTCTATCAGTGCTGGTCCTTGATCTGGAGCAAAACAATAGTCCTTGTGGCCTTGAAGTCTGGAATCTGAAACTCAAGTCTTCAGCATGGGTTTGAGTCTCACTGTTGCTCCCAGGCCTGCCATCTGTGAACCTCACACTCAGCCTTTGGTCACCCACAAACATCATGCTTGTTGATTCTTGAGGGGCAAAAAAATAAAGATGGCAAAAAAGAGAGATTGAATCACAAGAAATCAGCAAGGTTGAGGTGATATTGATCCCAATGCAGCCCTTTCTTCTAGTCATGGGGATATTGCTATTGTTCCTGTGGGAACTCAATAAATGTCATAAATTGTATTAAACCCAAAAAATGATAGCCATAATTAAATATAAGTTATAGGTTCAAAAGAAGAAGTAGCAACCCTTGCTCCACATTCAGACTTTCAGATTGCAATGAATAACTCCTTGAAATTTAGTGACTAAAAGATTGTTTGGATGTTTAGAAATTGTTTTTTGCCCATAATATCTGAGTGTTTGTACCGAAGTTCATTGGTCAAACTGGATTTCAAGGTAAAACATAATTGCAATGAATTTACTTGTTCATTGAAATGGAAATGACAATCTCCTAAACCCTGTAAAACACAAGATACTGCATCTTGTATCTTTCATGATCTTTTTGATTATCATCAAATTGCATTGGTGGGTATTTTGCTTTTCTTTGCTTTGGTTTTTAAGGTGTGACCATGTCTTTAGAATTGTGTTCTTGATTAACTCAACTACACACTTTTTTGAAGAAAAAAAAAACTTACAGCAAAATCATTAGCTTCTCATGTGCAGAACCTTTCAAAAAGCAAATAAAGGCAGGAAATTGTCAGCTACAGAAATTAAGGGATCATCCATGCATTTGACATTTTAAATTATACCTTCTGGATACAATAATCAAACCAATTTATTTATACATCATTGCAGTCCAAGGAAAAATTTAATTTGTCCTCCAAATATCTCATCTTACAAACTTACATCAGAAACCAATAAATAAGTGCCTTAACCAAAGATAAAATCATCTTGATTGCATTATAACGCAGTAAGTAATTGCCATTACATGATTGCAAAAAAAGTTTCCTATACTGCGTCCCAATAACTTTTTGAGTCCACCCCCCAGAAGGCCTTTCTGGCCCAACCCAGGCCACAAAAAGGTCACGCAAAGGGAGACAGGACGGCTAGTCAATGCAACCCCCAGAGGCCCAGGGGGTCATAAATATTTTCCCATAAACCCTGCCCTAATTCTGTCCCATGACCTGACTTGCCCTTGTTCATAAAAAAAAAGGTCAGCAGCTATACACCTCTTTGAATAAATGGCGCTCTTCACTTCCTGAATTAATCCTGTAATGAAATCTCAGCACAAAAAGATAAACTTTGCCTTTTTTTGAAGTTAAAATTACACTAAGATAAAGCAATAAGCTTTTATTTTGGCATGCTATGACTTATCCCAAGCTATAAGTTGCACAATCAACAATGACTAAATTTTGCCATGAAGACTAACTTTACTGTACACTGTTTCTGACTCTTTTATACAGTTGAGAATTAATGAATGAATGAATGAAGAGGACACTTTATTTGCCGCTTTTCAGCGTTCACAAGGCACAACCAAGACTCCTGCATCCAAACCCCCTCCCCACCCAACCTAACTCCCCCCAAAGACATTCAATCACTTCAAAGCATGAAACAAAGGACAAATCAATGATAAAAACAAAAGAGAGAACACACTCCACAAAATGAAAATGGACATCCGACGCATATGCATACACCCACCCATCCTAATTTTTGATCTAATCTGTTTGCTAAACCTGGTTGCCTGTGTAAATTACCTATCAGTTGAGATTATAAGTTGTAAAGTTCAAAGGGTTTGAAGAAAAGGACAGGACAAGGAACCTCACCTTCATCACAAGTTGGTCCAGTGAAGCCAGTCACTGAACAGTCACAGATGAATCTGTTCCACCCCTCAGTACACATGCCACCATTTTGACAAGGTGAGGATGGACAATGAGGGATCCCTGTCCTGCAAGTAGGCTCTATGTCTTCTGCAGAATATGACACCCAATAATCAACTCACATTTCTCCATTTCCATTTGACACATCACTATCATACTGTATGTATTACTCACCAGCATGTTGTTGTTTGGCAAAGGCAGCCAGATCAACAGGTTCATCATTGATAGTCATATCCCTGACACAACCCACAAAGCCAAAGCCAAGATGGTGGGACCATATCTCTGGAACCACTGGTGGAGCCCTGGAACCACCCACTCCACCTACAAACAGGTCACCATCCAGATCCAGCTGCTGACTGTCACCTATAGAAGCCATCAAAAAGACAACCTTTATAAGAAACTTTTTTTATGATTTCACAAATATGTATCAGTCCTTTGAAAAGAACAAAAAAAATTAAGTACTGTATCATCCCAATAAACACTTGTTTCAAGATTTGAAATTTAACATCATATGCCTCTCTGAACTTGTGCAACACATACACTACTTACACACTTTCCTCCCAAAAAGTATATATTCACACCAGAAAAGAGAAGATATTTTATTTTGATGCCCCAGAATGTACAATAGAGGAAGGAGAACTTCTCTTACAAAAGGGGATATTCAGTAGTATTCAAATATTTGTTTTCAACATAACATCTTGAATCAATGATACCAATATGGCAAATGGAAACTGTTGTCAGCTGGTTAAAACCGTGCTCTAACTTTCCTTTGCCCCTTGCCCCACTCATTAATGTGGACGGCCTCGCATGCGTGCGCAACTGAGTTTCCCTTGTTACCTGTCCTAATTATTATTAGCTCCAGGTGGTCGACCGCCCCATAAATCTAACGAATACTATGTTGCGGAATACGTGTGTGTCTCCTTTCCTTTGTCTGGTCCGATGGTCATCGCCGAGCAATGACCCTGTACTGTCTGGTTTTCTAGAGTTAATAAAAGGCCCTGCGAGGCCCGGTAGAAAGCAGTGGTTAAGATACCCTCAGAGAGAGCTGTATACGCGTATATATCGGAGCTGAATAAATACTTGTAAGTCAAACTTGCGTGTGTTTATTTATCATCACATTGTCTTGAATACTTAAAGTATTCGGTCTTG